AACCCCAGTGGATCCCAACGCTCTCTGGTTCTGAACCATCACCGAACGGTCCCCCCAGGTCCCAGCGCGCAGCCCGGTCCCCGGCCTCAGGTCCCCCTTCCAGCCTCTCAGCCACCCCCTCCCCCCCCACTCCCTGCCGCGATCCTGGGCAGGCTTTTGAGGGCGGCAAAGAAGTCGGTGACAATAACCAGTCTTGCCTGACGTTGGCCTGGCCAGGATGGGGCAGGGCGCGTCCCTGAAGAGCGAGCTGCCTGGTTGCCCGGGCGAACCAGCAGTACAAATCCAGCAGTAGAAATCCAGACTCAGGCTGGCACCATGGCCGAGTTCAGAGTGAGGTTGTCCACTGGGGAGGCCTTCGGGACTGGCACGTGGGACAAAGTGTCCATCACCATCGTGGAGACCCAGAGGGCTACTCCCGCCGCTGGACCATCTAGGCAAGGAGTTCACCGTGGGCGCGGTGAGGGGGCGTGGCAGGGGAGCAAGGGAGGAAGAAGGAGGGACGGTCCTCCCGGATACCAAACGTATCCCCAGCCCCCAGGGGGAGGACTTCGAGGTAACTGCCCCTAGGACGGCGGCCAGGTGCTTCTGCTGCGCGCGCACAAGGCTCCCCGGCGGTGCCCTTGGCCGGGACTCCCGGCTCTGCCGCAGGCTCCAGCTCACGCAGCCGCGGGACGCCCCGGCTGCCAGCGGCCGGAAGGGGCGGGGAGCCTGGTGGTGCGGGAGCGGACCGGTGCGGAGCGGACTGACGCGGGAGGGAGGCTCGTGCGGTGTTGGGTCAGGGGAGGCACTGGTGAGCTGGTGTGACCACAGCCCGAGAGGAGGGGAGACCAGCTGGGCGCGACAAGAGGGGCACAGGGGAGGAGGAGGAATGATTGCGAGGAATCTCACTTGGTGGTTGAATAGGGGTGGAGACCTGGTGCAAGGAGCAAGGCGGGTCGGGGGTGGGGTGGGAGCGGTGCGGGAAAGAAGTGATTCTGACCAGAGGACCGGGTGTCAGTGCTGGGGGAAAGCAATGAGTGGAGGAAAGGGGGCTGGTGGAGAAAGGACAGGACTGTGGAGCAGAGGGGAGGGGAGGCAGGCAACTAGGGCCAAACACGGTGGGGTTTCTGGGCATGGCTACCGCCCTCCTTCCTCTGCTCTCCAGCTTTTCTCTTTGGCCTGCCGGGGCCTCAGCTGCTGAGCTGGGGTCAAGGAATGGAGGGGGACTGCTGAGGCAGGGTCTGCCTTGGATGGGAAGAAGAGCGGGCAGGGACTTGCCCCTCTGTGGAGAGAGAGGGGGAAAGAGGTAAAACAGCCCAAGCTGCAAGCGGCTGGCTGACGTTTCAGTCCAGAGACAGCCCCCGGCCAGGTCTGAGGAGAGAACATGTGATGCTGGGGTGCCGAGGATTCCGGGCAGGTCCCTGTCTTTCTCCTTCCCCCCCCCCGCCCCCCCCAGCTAAAGTCACCTGGCAGGACAGCCACCTTCTGCTCTGTGCCTGGTCCCAGGCAGAGATGAAGGAGATGCAGCAGAAATACCAGTGAGCAACAAAGGGAGTCTTGGGGCTGGTGGTCCCGAGTCCCTGCTTCTTAATATTCTGGCTAAATTAATTAATTAATTAATTAAGAGTTCCATTCTCCTTTTTGCTGAGGTCAGCTCAGCCTCAAATCTGACCTAAAAGGACACGTGCGGGGAGCCTCACCTCTTGGCACTGCCCCCCTCATAGGCTCCCAGTCCTAAGTCCCTCCCTGCACAACCAGGCCCAGGGGCCCAGCCCCTGAGGCCCTTCCTCCAGTCATCGGCCTCACCCCCACCTCCACCTCTGCCCTTTACAGGTGGAGTGAGTTCTTCCCAGGGATGCCCCGCAGCCTGGATGCAGAAAACCTCAAGGAGCCTGATCCCGCCCTGCACTGCTCAGCCACCAAAACATCAGCCAGAAATCCTGCCCTCTCTTCGCATGAGCCGGCCTGCCCCACGGGACGCCTCCTGCGCGGCACCTCATTTCCTTCCCAGCCTGTACCATTCTGATTCTGTCTTTCTTTCTGCAGGAACATCACCCCTTGGGCAAGCCTGGATGGGATCCAAAGCAGCTTCATCTTCCACAGACCACCCGTGCCAGGTCTGGGGCGTGAAGGAGGGCAGGCAGGCTGTGGCAGGCCAGGGGGTCTGTAGAGTTCAGCTTCTGCCCAAACGCACTGCCGCCTCGAAGCCCCTTCCTGCCTCCTGTTCTGGCTTCCCAGCTGTGTGACCTTCACTTCTGTGTCTGTTTCTTCATCTGGAAACAGGAATAATAATAGCACTACCTCATAGGTTATAATTAGGATTAAATGTAAAGCGCTGCTAACAACCCTCGGGTGAATAGGAAGCGCTCTCTGAACATTAGCTATTATTAGTATTCACCCCATAAAGCTTCCAAGTCTTCCTTCTAAATCCTCCTCACAGAAGACCTCCTTGGGATGTCCCTCTGGCCTCCATCCCATTGGCCAGCTGTCTAAATGCCTGGCCTCCCCAGCTCCTTCCATTAACCTGCATAACAACCTTTCTCAGGCCCTGGGATTTATGGCAGCAGTGCTCATGCGCCTCCTGTGGCTCCGTTTTTTGCCACGTGGAATGCAGTGTTTACTGTGGCATCGCAGCCCTTCTAGAATTTGCTGCCCTCCGTTCCATTCTTCTTCCTCAGCTTACACTGAACCTGGGGAGGCCAGGCACCCCATTCTCCCTCTTTATCCAACCGCTGCCCCCTCTTCCAGCGCAGTTCATGCCACACCTCCCCTTGAAGACCTCAGGGGCACCCCCACACTCACCTATGAACACTCATAGATAGAGCTGCCTGCATCAAAACCCATCTTAGCCTCTGGCAGGTGTGGCTCAGTGGACTGAGTGCCAGCCCGCGAACGGAAAGGTCACCATTTTGATTCCCTCTCAGGGCACATGCCTGGGTCGCCAGCCAGATCCCCAGCTGGGGACACACGAGAGGCAACTGATCCATGTATCTCTCACACATCAATGTTTCTCTCCCTCCCTTCCCCTCTCTCTAAGAGATTTAAAAACAAAACAAAACAAAACCTTCTTAGTAATAGATCACATACCCTTTGTGAGCCCTACTATGGCTGTGGGTGGATCCCATCTCTGCCCTTTGGGAACCAATGGGCGAGATGGACCCAATGTGCCAGTCCCAACACCAGAAAGGGTGTGGGGGGTGGTGGCTGCTGTTCAGTCCTTCCTGGTGGCTTGCTCAAGCTCAGAAAGCTAGAACCCAAATGCCTGTTGAGGTGGGCAGGACTGGGGCTGGTGGAGAACTCATGTTTGTCTGAAGGGGACTCAGCTATGACTATAGCCAGATCTTTAGATTTTTCAAGAGAAATGAGACATTTTCTAATACTTAAATGTTGGCCATTGATTCATCTTGAAAAAGGAAGAAAACAACAACAACAACAACAACAACAACAAAAGAAACCTTGACAGTCATTCAAAACACATCTGTGAACCAACTCTGGCTCTCGGGCCCTGGATTGGCAGCCCCTGAGGGGGATGAAGCCTCCAGGTTTGAAGCTCAGCTCAGTGGCCTATGAAATGTTGGCCATTTTCCTTCTCTGGCCCATTTCCTTCTTTTTGGACAACTGGTCTCAGCACCTTTTCTCACTCATGGGCGGCATAACTTCCCAACTGTTAGTCACCATGTATTCCTGGATCCCCAGCTTTGTGTCTGATACCGTTGATGACCGGGCAGTGAGCAGGGACTCGGAGCGGCAGGCCTGGGTCAGGGAGACCGTCCGGGGGGGATTTCTAAGCCACATGAGCTCAGGTGAAACGTCCATCCCAGGCTTCCATCCTCTAGACCCCACATCCCCAGGGCAGCAGCCCCTTGGGTTTCAGCTCCATTCTCTTCCCCCTACCCCCGTCCAGGGGTCCTTTGGGCCCTGGGCAACTGCACTGGCCTCATCGAATATCTCACCGTGACCATCGTCACCTGCTCAGCCCAACATGCTGCTGTCAACAGCAGCCGGGTGAGCCCGTGCCAGAGCCGGGGCGCGGGTCACAGGAGGAGCAGACCCGGCCGGAGCACCGGCAGCCCTGTGCTTACTGAGTGTGGGGCTTCAGTTTGCATTCAGCGCCTGGATGCCCAATATTTCCACCACCATGGGGCTCCCCGGCCCACCAGACAGATCTGGGGCCTCACTCCCAGAGGTCAATGCCACTTGCCAGGCTCCTGCGCTCTCCTGAGGAAGGGGTCTCGGGACAATGGGTTACTTGGAGTGGCACCTAGCAGGTTGGGCCCCTTCTTTGAGGGAAGCGCCTGCAAAGACATGCGTTTCTGAGGGTGTGGTTTAGGGCAGCAGGATTCCTAGCAGATGGAGCTTATAGGGGCCTGGATTTCCCTTCCACTGGGCTTAGGGCAGCCTTTTGCCTGGGTGGCTGAGGGGCTTATGCTTCAAGTTGGTCAGGTCTTGGGTGGTCCAAGTGCCTAGGTGGAAGGGGCTCGGGTTGTGGTTTGCTGGTTGAGTGGATCTTCCGGTGGGCTGGGGTGGTTGGTGGTCTGAGTGCCTAAGTTGGGGGACTTACGATGGGCCAGAATCGCTTTGCGTTGAAAGATGAGGCAGTGGCGTCCTCGTGGGTCAGAGGTCCCAGCCCTCTGTCCCGCCGTCCCTAGCGGCACCTGGGCACCGACCCCGACGAGAACTTCACCGAGGAGGCAGGGCAGCGGGCGGTCACCGCCTATAACAATCGCCTGGCCCTTATCTCACGGGATATCAGGGAGCGGAATGGGGCCTGGCCCTACACCTACCTGGCCCCGCGCTGGCGGGCAGCAGTATCTCCTTACAAGCGCGGCTCCGGCCCTTTCCTGCCTTCCCTCCCCGCTCTCCTCCCCTCCCCCACCTTCCACTTCTGTCTGGTCCTTCTTAAACGGCTGCGCTCAGTAACAGACCCAGGGCTTGCGTTTGAAGTTTTATGGTTTTTTTGTTTGTTTGTTTTTTAAATAGCCAGGCGCAGGGCGGGGAGAAGCTGGGCAAAAAGAGCTGTCCTAAATAGAAATGCTGTTCTCGATCAGCACGGGGTCCAGGTAGTAGTAGGGGATGGCGAGGCATTTGTTGCGCTGGCGGATGTTGTACGAGATCTGGTCAAGGCGCTGGCGGAAGGCCTCTATGCTCCTGCGCGGGACCTCCTCCACGAAGTGAATGTCCGGGAAGTGGCCCAGGGGCCGCTGTGGGCACAGAACGAGCAGCTGGGCCCCACCCCTCCTCCCTTCCCCTTCAGGAACCTCTGTCTCCACCTTCCTCCCTTGACACACAACACACCCCTCCTGTCTTGCCCCGCGCCAGCTCCCTGCCCCCTGCCTATGCTCCGAGTTCCCCCACCCCAACCTGCACCCGGAGGCCCCAGGGCACCTTGTCGTCGGGCTCCCGGCTGAGCGTCCAGAGCACCAACAGGATGATGCACGTGGTCTTCACATCCGGTAATGTGTCCAAGAAGGTCTCCAGAGTGGTCAGCCCCTTGGCCTGCATCGGTGGGTTCCGCATGGATGACGGGAAGTTGGGCATCCAGGAGGTGTACTCCAGCTGGAGGTGGAGTAGAGGAGGGGTTGCGGGTCAGAGAGCACCCAGGGACTCTCGAGCTTAAATTGGACTTAGATTGAGGCAGGTCAGGGCTGGCTAGAGTTGGGTTTGAGCTTCAGGCTGGGATCACGGCTGGGTCCGGGCCCGGGGCTGGGGCAGGCGCTGGGAAGCACAAGTACCTGCCCTGTGTTGACAGCTGCGTGCCTGGCAGAGCAGATGTAGATGATGATGGACACATACCGGATCAGCTCCGGCACCGTTCGCAAGCACGTGGGGAAGCCTGAGGGGAGAGGAAATGCCCAGGCCGTGTCAGTCCTGCCCTGGTCCTGACTGGCCGGTAGGGGACGGGACCAAGCCCTGCTCAGCCTGTGCTGCCAACACTTCCAACTGCCACATCCCTGCCCTCATCCTGCTTGGCCTTCCTATGGCCACAACCCCATTCCCCGAGTCCAGACCACAAGCCTTGGTGAGAGGCCTCTGCTGGCCTTGGCTGGACGTCGTCTAGGCCTGCTCCATGCACCGCCTGAGATGGGGCCCTCAGCTCTCTCCTCCTGCTACCTTGGCGGGAGCTCTCTGGGCCCGGGTCTCAGGGAGGGGAGGCTTTGGAAGGATCTTGGCTTTCCTCCCCCGACTGCAGTTCTTCATCCGCTCCCCACTACATGCACTTTTTTTGAGACACTGCTCAGTCCAGATATATTTCTCAGTAGCCTGGCTCTTGGTCTTATACCTAATCGAGCTTCTTGCTTCTCTTCCCTGTTGTTCCACGTAAGCAGCCAGCCCTAGTTGCCATGGCGACCCCAGATTCCAAAAGGCCGACACATGCAAACCAGCAAACCAGAAAACCAGACCAGTCATCTTCCTCCCTGAAGCCCTCCTCTCTCTATGCCCCCAGCTCAAGAAGTGACTCGCGCCATCTACCCAGTTTCGAAACCTCTGAACCTGAGAGCCGCTCTTGGTCCCTCCCTCCCCCCTCCCCGCCAAACCCAAATTAATCACCGAGTCCCGTCATTTCTATTTCCCAACTCTCTCTAGAATTCTCTGCATCTCCACCCTAGTCAGGTCCCTGCCACCTCCCTCCTGGACACCACAGCAGCTTCCGACTCTCCCCTTACTGAACGGGCAGCCTGATACTCTTAACATACAAATCTGATCTTGCAAACCTCCCTCTGCCACAGCTCCCTCTGGTGCTCAGAGTCATTCCAAACCCCTTATCGATCCTGTGCAGCCTGGCCCCTGCTCTTGTCAGCCTTAGCCCCGCCAGGAGCCTGCGCAGCTCCCATTCTCAGCTCCGGTCAGCAGCTCCCAGAACTCTCTGGCCTCACCTCTGTCATCTCACAGCTGACCTCCCCCCGCCCCCTGGGGAAACCAGCTTTTAGCTAAGGTATTAGATCTCAGCTAGATCTTAGCTTGCTGCTACCCACTCCCGCTCTCTACCCACCACCCCTGCTCAAACTGGGTGAGGTGCCTGCCCTGGGCTTGTATCCCCACCACCAAACTGCGCCGGTCCTGCTGTAACGTGACTGCCCAGGCCGCTGAGCAGACCACCCCACCCCCTGCCAGGCTGTGAACTCCCTGAGGCAGCACCTCCACCTCTCTCATTCCCTTTTGTCTCCTCAATAACCAGCACAGCGTTCATGGATGTTGAGTGGGTGTGCAGTGGCATGACGTCGAATGCTCTCCCCGCTCCCGGAGCCCACCCCAGCGCCCCACCCGCTCCCCGGCCTGCAGCACACTCTGCCCTTTCCTGTCTGAGCTCATGCCCCACTTCTCGGTCCACAAAGGCTTGCTTCTGGGTGGGGGACTGGGACCCTTCCAGGTCTCCACAGAGATGATCCACAGCCCCTGAACTCAGACAGGAACCAGTGACCAGCCATGCTTTCCTCCCCAATCTCTCTGAGATGCTGCTGCAAGGGGCAGGGAAGGGCCCCGTCAAAATTCTGGGGCAGTGATCTGGCCTCCCACAGCCCCCAGTGAGACGTGCTCCAGCCCAGCCCGGGCAGGCCCACCCTGAAGCCCTGGACCCCTGAGCTGGATGCTCAGGTGCCGAGGCTCCTACCTGAGCTCTCACGCCCCAGTAGGCCCTCCTTGAATATTTCCTGCACCCAGGACTGCAATTCCGGGTCACCCTCCACAGCTGCATCGCACGGGTAGTAGTAGGTGATGATCTCTGTCACGTACCTGACCAGGGGGCAGGGCCTCAGTTTGGACCCTCCCCCTGCCCTCCCCATCTGCGGTTCCCACTTTTCCCAGGATGCCCTGGCCCCAGAGCTGCCCTTGGCCTGTGGGTGGGCAGGTCCTGTGGGGCAGAAATGGCAAGGGCAGCTTGTCGAGACAGAAGATGGCACCAGGCCCAAGCTCAGGTACTTTAGGGCTCCCTTCCAACATCTCAGGGTGTCCGCCCTGAGGGCTACCCACTGCCGTGCCGATCTTAACCTCTCCAGTGCGTCCCACACCGCCAAGGAGTCATCACGGTAGTAATATCCCGGGAGGTCCTGAACCCCGCGCTCCATGAAGTCGTTGGGGGGGTAGAAGCTGTCGTAGTTTATCTGCGACAGAGCCCGCACCATCACCTCAGCAATGCCCTCCACGCCCAGACCCGTGCCCTGTGGGGGAGGAAGCAGACGCTGGAGCCAGCAGGTTCCTTGCAGGTCTTCCCTGATGAAGCTCACGCCTGTCTCGCACACAGGCCCTGAGTGCTCCTCTAACCCCTCGCCAACCTGCCCCACCCCCGGAATCCCCGCACTCCAGTCAGCACGCCCAGCGCTTGCCACCATGCCTTTGTAGACACGGCACCTACTTTAACCAGCCCCCTCTCTCCCTGCTCCCCCTGAACTAACGGCAAGTGGGAAACTCTGCTGCTAGTCTCACTGCAAAGGCCAGAAGGAAAGAGAACAACTTGCTGGTGTGGGGGCAGCAGTCTTACCCTGGCAGTCAGCCCCCCCTCGTTGAGGAGGAGGGCCCGCCCGATGCTGTTGATCTGGACAGTGTATCGGGTGTGGGGGATCAGGAGCTGTGAGAGAAAGCAAGGAGGACGATGAAAGAGAACTGGAGTTATCCCCCAGAGGGCCTCAGCACCCCATTTCTGCAACATCAGACCCACTCGTTTTGGGAAGTCCCCACCCCACGCCCTCTCTTTTGGGTCCCCAGCTGCCTCCCCTAGTCTAACTGGAATCCCTCTGAGAGCTGAGCAAGCCAGGTGGCTTCCTGAGGGCAGCGATGCTTCACAGAGGCATCAGCCCAGCCCATACCTTGTAGAGGGGATGGCACATGGGCAGCTGCCTCAGCAGAGCCAGGCAGAAGGCCTCAGCGATGAGGTGGGTCCCCAGCAGGTGGGTGACAGCCTCGTGGCAGTAGAACTCAGCATTGCGCACCCACGTCTTGGCCAGCAGCCAGTCCCACTCAGAGTCGCTGGGCAGGAAGATGGGGCTGCTGGGCCCAGGGGTCTGGCTGAGCTGGGAGTGGGGAAGGAGGGACAGTTAGATGAGGGCAGGGACCTACACATACAAGGTCCCCAGGAGGGAGACTAAGGGGAGCCTGAGGCGGTAAAACTTCCACTCCCTACACTCCAGTCCCCCCGTTCCCCGGAGCACACCAAGGCCTTTCCTCCCTCCTAACATTTGCTCTTGCTCTTCTCACTGCCTCTAGCACCTTCCCCTGTTTCTTTCTCCACCTGGCAGCTCCCACTGATTCTTCAAGAATCAGCTCACAAGCCGCTTCCCCATTCAGCCGTGCAGGCTGCGCACTGCACAAGGATGCCCAGCCCCCACGGGTCAGGGGTCACTTAAATCTAGCCTAAGCTGTTCCACTAACAAGCCAGGAGCATCAGGACTTGACTGATCCCCCCCAGAGGGGTGACCTTTTCTAATTTGGACATGACTCTAGTGGGGACCTCTGGGAAGGAAGCACCTCTGTTCCATTTTTGTCAGACCAGACTCTCAAGGCAGTGGCAAGGTCTGATGAGCTCAGTATTGCCATGCTTATTCACACAGCATGCCGACTGCACACACAGTGCACCAACAGGAGCCCATGTTCACACGTGGGTAGCACACAGGGGCAGCACACAGATGTACGTGGAGACCCAGCCAAAGGCTTGAACCCAGGACCACACAACAGGCTCACCACTAGCCACGCACCCTGACAGGTATATACATAAACATAGGTATGTTCTCAGAGGCACACAAAGGGGCATATACTCCCATGGACACACATGCTTACACACACAGGCGCACGCTCACACAGGCACAAACAGTGACAGGTGGTGCACGGGGACATAAGGTTCACAGGCAGACACACAGATGCTGACCCACTCACCACACACTCGCCTAAGGGCACACACACATTTATGCACATACATCAACTTGCACACAGGCAACATGCTCACACGGCGGGCGGCCTGCCCCCCAGACACCTGGATGGCGATGGGCATCATGTTCCCTTCCGGTCCAAAGTGCAGCAGGCAGAGCGGGGCGCATTGGTGCTGCTTCCGGCCATTGAGCTCAATGGTGGGGATGCCCTCCAAGATTCTGTAGTCTGCCAGGTAAATGTTCCCCTTCTGGAAGGGAGCCACCATGGGCGGGCAGAGCACCAACATGGGGCACCCATGACCCATACCTGGGGTATGGAGTGCTCTGGTCCCCCAGATGCAGGGGGTGGCCAGGAACCAAGTGGGGGGTGCCTGCAGGGTGGGGCGGGGGACGTGGAACTCTGCAGGCGGGAAGGTGGGGAGAGAGGGGATGCCCTGGAGGGAGGAAGGCCACACGGCCGTGAGAGGTCTCCGCCGGGCCAGGCCTCACCTCCAGCTCCGCTTGCAGGCACGTTCCTTCGCCCAGGAAGGGGGCCACCATGTCATCTGTGACGGGGAACTTGTCGGGAATCCGCGTGCAGCGGCGGATCAGGCCTGGGTTCAGGCCGTTGAGGTACTGGTACCCAAAGAAACTGTCCTCTGTCCAGTGCTCGAACACATATTCTGGTGGGATGGTGCGGGAGCATCACACCTGGTCCCCCTCAGGGACAGAGAGCCACGGGGCCAAAGCCCAGAGGAAGACAATGGACACCAGAGAGGAAACCTAAGCCCGCAGCCTCCCATAAGCTGCCGGAGTGGCCCAGGACAACGTTTCCCCAGAAGATCCCGGAGGGTGTACCCACCCACCTCGCAAATCCTGCCTCAGGATCGCCCACCCTCCCACCCAGCTGCTCCTGGGCCTGGCCTTCTGGACGAATCTCTGAGTTTCTTCCGCCAGAGATCGCTAAGCTCCCTGTGTTCCATTCAGGACACCCCACCCCATACCTGAGATGACAGTCTTGTAGAAAGGGAAAACTCTCTTAATGTCCTTCAGTCTCTTCCACGGCTGTTTGCAGTCCAGCAGGCCTTGGACTTTGAGCTTCAGCGACCTTAGGGGATGGGATTCGAAGGGAAAGCTATCAGAGAGGCTGCCAAGTGCAGGGTGGGAAAGGGTCGAAGCTGCCACGACCCAGCTAGGCCTCTAAGTCTCAAAATCTGTGTTTTCTGTACCCCTGGGTCTCAGGTCCCTGGGCCCATATCTCAAGGTCTTTCTAGGTCTCGGCCTCGGCCTCGTCTGGCCTGTCTTAGCAGATCCCTCTACCTTTCTGGCCATTGTAACCTTCGGGGCTGTGGGGGAGGTGGGTACGGAGCAGAGGAAGAGGGGCAGTCTTTACATAACACCCCCCCCCGCCCCGCCCCACTCACACACTCACATGGGCGCCAGGCGAACAAAAAAGGAGGCTGTCTTGATGAAGGAGAAGCGCAGATTCGAGTTCAGGAACCTGGTGGCCTTAATGTTGATGAGAATTGGGAATCCAGGGATGTAGCCATTCCACCTGCAAGAAGAAGTGCTGGTCTGGGGAGGATACCCGGGGTGCAGGGCGGGAGGAAGGGGCAGAGCCCAGCCGTCAGCCGCCGCCACCGCCACGGGAGGGCCCCAGGGCCGCCTCAGGTCCTTACTCAGGCCGGTTGGGGTTTCTCGGGACCGGAGGGTGGTAACTGGGGATGTCCACGTAGTTGGGCAGGCCAGGAACGAAGACCCTCCAGCTACAAAGAGAAGCTGAGAGAGTGAGCCCAGATGCCCATGCACCATCCCAGGGGCAGAGGGCAAAGCCGTCACTGGCGCCCTGACCTCCCGCAGCCCCTGCCGCCCTCCGCTCACTGGTATAAGTCCTGCTTGGCTCTGATCTCCTCCTGTCGATGCTCCAGAAGGATTGGGAGGGTGTCGTCTGCTCTTGTCTTTCCTGTAGGGAAACCAAAGAGAGGGGGGTCAAGGTCAGACCCCCAGTATCTGCCTGCCCCCCTCCCAGTTCAAGAATCAGAATTCAGCTCCTGCATCCCAGGTTGGCTCCAGGGGCTCATGGTCAAGGATGGGGAAGGCTTACCTTGGGAGAAGGAGGGTGTTTCTCCCGCGCAAAACTGAAATAAAAGGATCAGGGACCACCCACCTCTCCCCTCAAGCTGGGCCCTGCCGCTGCAGGGGTGCCCCTCTCCCAGACCCACCGAAACATTAACAGCAGTCATTTGGCACTTACTAGGGATGGGGCGCTTTCTAAACACTTTCTTTATATTAATAATTTAATCCGCACAAGAACAACCTTTTAAGGCAGGTGACTACTCTTATATGCTCACAGCCTGCCCTCGACAATTCCAAAAGCCAACAAGCCATACAAATCAGGTTGTTGTTGGTTTTTCCCCCTGCAACAGGTTAAGCACAAATTCCTTGGTCAGAAAAACCTGCTCAACATTTACCTGAGGCTATAGACAGTCTTCACTTAGCTCACTTGGTGTAACTATTCATAGTTTTTGCTGCTGCCACACAGGATATTAGTATATTTGATTAGGGGGTGCCCTAGTGAAAATATCACATAACACATGGTGTGTGTATATGTATAGAAGATATATGGAGATAAAGATACGTGTGTATCACATTTATATATCTCTTCTTAATAAAATCTGAATATCTTTTTTTCTTTTTTCTTTTTGAAAGGGCCACATACTAAACCTTACAAGCTCAGGGGAAGTCTGCATGTGGACCTTACAGACTCAGAGGCAGAAAGGTACCACGTAGGATGGTCTGAACATTCCTAACTGAAAGCAGATCATGGTAGTCTGACTGAGTAGTCACATTCTAGCTTGTAAGTTTCCTTGACAAAGGTCAATCCTTCTCTTAAGTAAGCCTGTTTTTGTCTTTCTGCATCAAAGATAGCAAACCTTTGGAAAGTCAGAGTGATCTCCTTTCCGGATCCCTCAGGTATGACCTCACACCAGAGCACCAGGCCAAAGGACCCCTCCTTGCTATCTTGCTCCCCCCACACCATCTTTAGGTGCTGGAAATGTTCATTGTTAACTATCCTGTACCTGCCACTGTAAAAGAAGTATATGTCTCTCTGTTTTGATCTTTATCCAATCTCAGACGTTTCCCTGCCTTGCTTTTTCCTGCCTCCCTAATCTACCACCAATGAATTTCATGTAATTCACCTATGTCTCCTCTTTGATTCTAATGTATAAGATAAGCGTAAAACTGCCATTCTCTAAAATCTGAATTTCAAAACATCTCTGGCCCCCACAGTTTCAGCTAAGGGACAATATTGTCACGCTCATTTTACAAGGAAAAAACAGCTCATATTACAGAGAAAACAGCGAGCTGAGATTTGAACCCAGACAGCAGCCTTCTGATCACTCAGCCACTGCCAGCTAACAGCCACCAGTAGTTGTTAAGCCTTTTAAAAACTCCTCTTAGAGATTGTCTCATTGGATTCTCACATCAACCCTATGAAGTAAATACTGCTGTTAGCTCCAGTTTACAGATGAAGACACTGAGGCTTAAGAGGATATAGAAGTATAGCCAGCATGTGCAGTTAGTACGTGGTGGAGCTGAGACCCAAATCCAGGCTCATCTCTCTCCAGCATCCTGGCTGGTAGTCCCAGGCTGACAAGGGCCTATCACTAAAGTCTCACCATTTTCCCTCAAGGCCCCCTTCGTTAGCCTCTCCCTCCTCCATCTGCCTCAGCTCAGGCTGTGTTCTGGGGAACAGCTCCCCCTGGAGTTGTGCGACCCAGAGCCCCAGCTCAGCCTCATTCCTAGAGTGGGAACCTCGTTGCTTCAAGAGCCCAGCAGGTGACTCAAGTCTCCCTGCCCTGGTGTTGTGTGGCAGCTGCCCCACCCAACCCCATTCCTACCCTGCCACCTAGTGTCACCCTTCCTGTCCTGGGCTTCCGTGTCACTCAGACCTATCACTGTGGGAAGATGCTTCAAATCCGCAGTAAGAACCCCCGCTTGGCTTTCCCACCTCTCCCCACCCGCCTCCCTCTACCCCGACTCTCCTTTCCCCAGCTCAGGCCCCATCGCCCTCCTCCCAGAAAGAGACTCTCGCCACAGGGACATGAGAGACACAAGTGGGGTGGTCAGCGGTGGGGAGGGTGGAGTTCCAGGCCCCTGGGCCCCTCAGCTCTGTCCTCCCCTCCCACCCACCTCAAGGCCGGCAGAACCTCGGAGGTGGAGCCAGGGGACAAAAGAGGACAGGCCTGCAGTTCCTATGAAGCAGCCACATATTGGGAAGCTGGCCCAAGCCACCAGACAAGGGCTCTGTCAGGGGTGGACATAAAGAGCACAGGCACTCAGGTCATGTCCCTTTTCCTTGGGAGCCACCAAGCTACAGGAAAAGGAGCCGGGCCACCAAGGAAAACCCCCACAGTCCATATGAATGACATGGCCTCCTATGGAAGTGGCATGGAGCCTTAGTGGGTTAAGGGGGCCTTTGGAAGAAGCAGTGAGTCCTGTTAGAGAAATAGGGCGTCTTGTTGGGGTAACAAGGAGTCCTTTGGAGCAACAAAATGCCCCATCAGTCTAAAGAATGCTCATTAAGAAACCCAGGGCTCTGGCTGAGGCTGCTCAGCATCAGGCACATGCTTGAGCGCAGGTCAGGTCCCTAGTTCAGGGTGTGCGAGAGGCAACCGATCAACATGTCTCTTGTGCATCGATGTTTCTCTTCCTCTCTTTCTCCTTCCCCTCCCCTCTCTCTAAAAATAAGTAAATAAATAATAAAAAATTGTATAAAAAGAAACCCAGGGTATCATAATAAGGCACAAGTTCTCCTGTTATAGCACCATGGAGAACCATTGAACTAACAGCCTCCTTTTCTTTTCTTTTCTTTTCTTTTTTTAAGATTTTATTTATTTATTTTTAGAGCAAGGGAAAGGGAAGGAGAAAGAGGGAAAGAAACATCAATGAGAGAGAAACATCGATTGGTTGCTTCTTATACAAGCCTCTATAGAGCCCAAACCCACAACTCAGGCATGTGCCCTGACCAGGAATTGAACCTGCAACTTTTTGCTTTGCAGGACAATGCCCAACCAACTGAGCCACACCAGTCAGGGCTAAGGGCTAACATTCTTAATGAAAAAACAAGACCACAGTTGGAGTACTGGCGCACCTGATTAGAGTAACAAGGCCTCCTGCTGCAATAACAGAACCTTATTGAGGTAACGGGGTCTTTCTGGAGTAGCTTTACATGCTATTTGGAATAAATAGGGCATTTCTCCAGAGTCCTGAGCCTGTACCCAGAGTAGCAAGGGGTCTTTTTAGAATGGCTGAGAAACCCACGGGAATCCAGGGGAGGACAGTGGAGGTAATGGAGAGCACTCTTGTCTTTTGCCAGAGCCTGCGAGACTAAGATCCTGAGGGTAGTCCATGCCTTATTCATCGCTGCTTCTCAGGGCGTAGCCCGAGCTGGGTCCAGCACAGCAGTGATGACTGAGAGGAGAACGTGAGAGGGGCAGCAGTTCCCAGGAGTCCCTGTGGGGCTGGCACCTGGCTAGCTTGTGGGGAGTCCGGAGCGGCCATGCTGGAGTGCTCTAGCTAGAGCGAGGGGCCTACTGGCATGGATGGGATGGTGAGAGCCTACCTGTAGCCTCCCGCAGAGCCAGGGTCTCGTAGCCATCCATCCACTGGTAGGCGGGGAAGTGATAGATGCGGCCATTGGGCGCACAGATCTGCACATATTTGCAGTACCAGGAGTTCTTAGGAAAGAAGGAGTATTGGTCCTTGTGCAGGCGGACGATGATGAGCTCCCCCAGGTCCTGCTGGCACCGGATAGTGTACTTATCCACCTGGGCAGGGCACAGAGCCAGCTAAGCATGGAGGTCTCAACCGTGGCTTTCCTCCTGGTCTAGCTTCTCACGTTGCTCAAGCTGGGGACGCTCACCTTTCTGGACCGGGCTGACCTGATCTTTGGGCTCTCCTCCCACCCCTCCAACCTGACTGTCCCTGATGGGCCCCTCTACCCAGGGCAGGGCAGGACCCAGGCCCTGCCTCTCTCCACTCCCAGCTCCTGACGTCCCACCCTCTCACTCACCTCCCCAGTCATCTGACACCGCAGGAGCTGTACAGACCCCAGGGGCTGTTATATAAAGGGACCCAAATGGGGTCCAAGACTCCTCAAGCCTCCTACAGTCTTAGAATAGGCCGAAGTGGTCCAGCCAGTCCCTCCTTCTCCCACTTATCGATGAAGATGTGCAGATTCAGAAATGGCCGCGTAGCTGCACAGAGTGACCTATTAAGGTCACATAGCAGCAGGTTACTGAACCTGACTCAGAAGCAGGGCTGAGGGCCAGGGGCCCAGCAAATGGTGCCTTTCATCATGGAGTAGGCAGGCCACCACTGGGCAGGCTGGTCTGGTGTCATCTGAAGTCACAGAGTCTCCAGTGTGAATTTAAGCCAGTTATGATGCACCTTAACTTAGGAAGAGTAGGTAAGAACACAAGAGAGAGGAATGAGAGAGAGTGGGCAAGAGGAAATGGGAGAGGGAAGGAGTGGAAAGGGATGAGAAAGAAGAAGAGGTAAAGGGAGTAGGGGAGGGCTGAGAGATGCGGGATATAGAGTGAATGATGAGAGAGGGGAAGAGGGAGAGGGGAAAGAGATGAGGAATAACCAAAAAGGGATGAGAGGCAACAGGCCAGGGAAGAAGACTGGCCCAAGACCAGGAAGGTTGGCAGCCAGGTCCATGGTGAGGGGCAGCCAGAGTCCCCTGGGAGCCCCGGCGCTGTCAGATCTCTCCCAAGCTCCCCAGCCTCTCCTGGCCAAGCTCTGTCATCCTTGTCTGCACACCTCCGTCCCTCCAGACACACACTCACACACAATCACACAAGTCACACATATACCACGCACCACACTCACACATACCCCACAGTACACATTCACACAGATGTACACATACATACATCACACTCACATACACACACCACACACATTCACACATATATAGACCACACTCACATACTCACACATACACCATAGATACATTCACACACATACATACCTATACCACACCACACACACACCACACACACATTCACACATACATATACACATACATACACAACACTCACACTCACACACTACACACACTCACCACATGTTACATACACATCCGTACTCTGTACTGACACATATGCACACCACACTCACACATACACCGCACACACTCACACAGACATACTCCACACACTCACACACACCTCACACACTCACACGGTCACACACACAGTCGCGCGCGCACACTCACCGCCCCCGTTGCAAAGTCCCTCCCAAAGTGGTTCAGCAGCTGCTTGTGGCTCTCTCCTTGGGTCCCTACGATGGTCAGCGAGATGGAGTCCATCGTTCCTGACAAGAGGTCGTCACCAGTGGCCACCTTGACTTTGTAGGTGGCCATGGCTGCTCTTCAGGAGGCAGGAGGAGGGGCTCAATGCCAACCCTGTGGAGTGCCGCACAGGGGCCCCGGGCCAGGCGGCGGAAGCCAGACACGGAGAGGAGTGGAAAGGGCCAGCCTCCCGAGGTGGCAGGGTGAGGCAGGGACGACTGGCCCCCCCAGCAGCCTAGAACCTGGAGAAGCTGCTGCCCTCAGCGGCCGGGATGGGAGCCAGGCAGGCTGGGGTGAGGTCGTGCTCCCGAGCAGGTGTTTGGGCTACAAGTCCTCTGGGAACTGGCAGGGAGGAACAGGAGGCGCTTGGCCTGCCTCTGAGAGGGCGGTGGAAGATGCCTTGGATGAAAAAGACTTCAGGGCGGGGGAGCCAGTCCAGCCTGAGCCACAGCCCCAGGGAAGTTGGGGGAGGGGTCTGGGCGGGGCCCCAGATCTTTATCAACCTAATAAGCTCCTTCCTTCTGCCCGCCCCCATGGGCTACAGAACTGGGCATCCCTGCGAAGCAGAACTGTGGGCAGTCAGCTACAGGCTTTGGTTCTGGGGCCCCCCGTGGGTGAGGGCTAGGGGAGAGAGTGCAGCGCCAACCCTCTGAGCAGCTGGCCTGCTGCCTGGCTGTTCCTCGCTGGGAAATGGAACACATAGTGGCCTCAGCGGGAAGCCTGGCCCATCCTTCTGGCCCATCCAGAGCCCAAGAGAGGAAGTGTGGCGGGTGCTGAAGCTAGAGCTCAGGGACCCTAGAGCACAGAGAGGCTCCAGGGAGAGACGATCAGGGAGGGGCGGGGGTGGGGGGGAGGAGTTTGTTGTTTTCTGCTGAGTCAGGATTAGCTGAGGGGAGATTGGGGTTGACTACAAAAATAGAAGATAGTTGGAATACATTTGGGACACAAGTACTAAGCTAAATAATGGATATATAATTTGTAGTATAATCCTAACATAGAATTCTACCCAGCGACTTAAAAATAAATGAACTATGACATGAATGAATCCCACAAAAATTATATTGCATGAAAGAAGCCAGACATAAAAGAATACATGCTCTGTCATTCCATTGGTATGAAGTTCAAGAACAGGCAAAGCCAAACGATTCTTATAAAAGTCAGACCAGTGAGTAGCTCTGGAATGGGGAGCCATGCAGGCAGCCAGAGATGTGCTTTCTTGATCGGGGTGGACTAAAAGGCACTATATGCATTTTACTATATTTATGTTATCCCTCAATTTTATAAAGTACTCACTGCATCCCCCACCACACCCCCACAAGAAAAGGAAACAAAGAATGAAGTTAAGAAGGAGGTTGGAATCCGGGTTCGGCTCCCAGGGAACCCGGTCATTCATTCCTCCACACCTTCGTTCACTCAGGACATGTTTCAAGAGCACACAGCGTTCCAGCTACTGTCCCAGGCACTGCAGATACAAAGCAGAAATGAAATCCACACAGAGCTTGTTGAAGCTGGGAGAGAAAGACAAGAAAGAGCAAACAATACTTTCTTTGCAATAGTTTTAAATAGTAAGTGCTATGAGGAAAAATCTGGAGAGGAAAGGGGAGTGGGGTTGTCTGGTTTCTGTGATAGAAATGCAGAAACCAGAGGCCTGAGGGCTGCTGTGGGGTCAGGCCCTGGGAGGCTAAGTTTAGAGAGGTGTTTGGACTGAGATTCTGGTAGGAGAGATGCTTGGAGCTATACTCTCAACAGATGGTGTTTGGGACCCAAGAGAGAGTGAGAAGAAAGTCACTTTCCTGTCCCCCTTTCCTGGGCCCTCCTTTCCTTCTGCCTCCCAGGGGCAGCTCCTGCCAACCAGAAAGCACCAACCCAGGTTTCCTTCCTGGTGGGACCCTTCCGTCACCATCAAGGGAAAGTCACACATGTGCCTGGGCCTTGTTAAGGCCAAAGGAAGCTGGGATTCTGAGATGGAGAGAAGGTTCTGGTAGGTTCTGGACTGGGCGAGGAATAGGGGTGAAATTGCAGTTCAGGTTGAACATAGAGATAGGGATGTGGTTGGACTTAGGGAATGAAATGACCTTTCTAAGACTCAAGTCTGCTCCTGTCACCCCCATCTCTTCCAGTCCTAGGTCAAGCCTGGCAGTGGCTCCTTCTTGCCTTGGAGATGAGGACATCATCCGTTCACGCGACTCCCAGGGCCTGCTTCACACGTCTCATCCTCCCACACATTCCCCTTTCCTCTCTTCTATATGGGACTAAGCGCCTTTCATTCATCATCAGCAGGCAGAGCACCCGCTATGTGCCCAGCACTGTGTCAGAGCCTCAGAAGGTAATGCAGCCAAATTCCTGCCTTTCTCTTGGAGCTTACATTCTAGTGTTGAGGAAAGACAATATTACCTAATAACCAAGTAAATTAAATACCATGTTAAATAGTGATAAGCGCTGAAGAGGAATAACAAAGCAGGGAAGGATATTATAAAGTATAAGGGAGCAAATTTTAGATATAGAGTGGCCAGGGAAGAGCTCTTTGAGATGGGACTTTTCAGTAGAGAAATGAAGGAAGTGAGCCAGCCCTTTCCAACCGCTGGGCCTTTGCACATGCTGTCCTCTACCTCTTCGAGCTGATTTTTGTTTCCTCTTCCTTCTGATCTTAGCTGGCAATTGCTCCGTCAAGGAAGGCCAAATATAGTTATTAATGGCTCTCACAGCATGGTAGTTAACATTTTTCATTGATATCTGTCTTCCCCACTAGATTAGATAGTCTGTCATTTGGCTTGGTTTTCTCTCTAACTCCCAGCACAGTACCTGATACCTTGAAACATAATTCTTAATGGTTGGATGGGCTACTAATGAGGACAAGGACAGGATTAGGAACTGCATCAACAATGGGGTTGGAATTAGGGTGAAGATTCAGGGAGTTGAGGTAGATTGGGGTAAGGGCAAGGTGAGGGGCGGGCAGTGGTATGGAGGAGAGGGGTAAGCGGATAGAGGCAGGATTGAGGAAGAGGCTGGGGATGAAGGTCATGCCCCTGCCCTGGGTGACCAGCAGGACTGTCTCAAGCACCCGGCACAGTGCTGTCCCCAGTGAGGATAGGATTTGTCAGGCAGGTCAGGCCCGCCCTCCTGGGCTCTGCTCAGCTACCCCGTGACTCTCAGGGAATGCCTGACGACAGAAATTTGCATTTTAAGATGCAAATTCTTTACAACTTCTCCCAGCCTCCTGCCTTCTAGCCACTCCCCTCCCTTGGAGACTGTGTCCTCTAGGGTCTGCTAGGGTCTGGTGAGGAGCAGGGTGGGGCAGAGTGGAAACTGAGGCTCAGGGACTTGGGAAACTGCATCTTCAGGCTTCTCTGGGACACAGGGTCCTGGGGCAGAAGGATGACAGGCCCAGTCTTAACCTTCTAATCCAGTGGAAAAAAATCACTCTGTGGGGGTGGGGAGGAAGCAGGGGCACACAGGAGATTGGAAGGTAGAGGGGGAGGGGACCTTAGCCAAACAGGGAAGGGAGCTGATGGTGTAGAAGAGTTTGGGTGTCACCACAAATGGAAGGATATACCTCCATCCCCAACAGCTGCCTCCTCAAGTCATACCCACTATAATAGGTGCCCCGCAGCCAGCCCCTCTCTCCCAGCAAAGCAGGAGTGGTGACTCTGCTGAAGTCTGCAGTGGGAATTAGGTTCCGGAAGGAAACAGGGATGGAAATGTGTATGGGATGGTGGGGATATAAATGTGGCTGGGGACATGGATGGGATTAGGCATAAGGTTGTCAATGGGGAACTTCCCAGTTACGACCAAAACGTGAACGCGTGACTCTGGGTAGGTGCTCATTGGGCTGAAGAACTGGTTCTCCTGGACCAGGGGTGGACCCAGAGAGCAGGAGAGGCTGCTGGGAAGGATGCGAGCTTGCACGGCTGGCTCACAGGGCCACCCACACAGGAAGCCAAGTCTTCACTGCTGGGGCACCCCCCTCTTTGCCTCACCCTAAGCCCTGCGAGTCAGGGAGCAACCCTTGGGCTCCCCTCCCAGGACTCAGAGAGAAAAGTCAAATCAGGTCACTCCTCTGCTCAGAACTTATCAGAGCTTAAAACGGTGTTGCCCTTAGAGTCAAGACGAAGGTCCTACCATGGACGACAGCACCATGCCTGACCTAGCTTCTGTCCACCCCTCAGCCATTCCTCACTGCTCAAGCACATGCCTTTCAGGGACCTTGCACTTGAGCTGTCCCTGGTCTGTAGCACCTTTCCTCACGCTGTCCCAAGTGTTTTGTTCTTGTCATCCAGATCTCAACTCAACTGCCACTCCTCAGAGTGGCCTTCCCTGACCACCAGACCTTAAGTTTCTCCCCACTCACCACCCTCAGTCATGCTAACACACCACCTGGTTTTATCTCCTGACTGTACTACAACTGCCTGAAAGAATTTATTTGCTGTGTGATTATTTATGTGTTTGTTGTCTGTTTCCCAGGAAGCCAGTGGAAGTAGGGGTGGTACCAGGGGACTTTACAGCTGCTTCCCCAATGTCTCAAACAGTGTCTAGGAAGGCAGGAGCCATGAAGCAAGAAGATCCTAGAATGTCAATGCTGGAGGACTTTCTGAGTCTCCTTGTCCCTCCTATTTATCTGACATATTTGGGTCATCGAGGCTGAAGGACTTCCTCAAGGCCAGCTGGGGAGAGAGGGCCAGCATGCTTCCCACTGTACCAGTCACCTTCCAGACTGACAACAAAGAATAGAAGTGTCCAGAGTGCTCTCTGGAGGAAGCCTCCTATCTGACAGGGCTCGAGCTTTACGGGCGCCTCTTCCCCACGTCCTGTCCCCAGAGGTGCCCAGAGCTTGGCAGAATCCTGCTTGCCGCTGGGTGTATCTCCTCAATAAATCTCCCTCCAAGTTGGCTTTCTGGGAAACCAGATTCCAGTGACCTGCCCTGGTCCCTCCCTCTCCAGCTCAGGGGCTTTTTTAGGACGGGCATGCCTCCTAATACTAACTTTAGTGCAGGCCAAGGAGTGTTCGTCCCCTTGAAGGGACAGGCTCCCTGATATCCCTCCAGCCTATCCTCGTCCTGCTGTTCTAAGCCAAACCCCAAATTTAAAGGGCAGGTGTGACCAGCCCCTGCTACAGGCCTCCTGGCCACAAGGGGGCGCCTCTGGGTATGTCTTGGTCCTGAGATTTTGTTCAAAAATGGACAAAATCTGGTGATTCTGATTAAATTCTTAGGTTGGAATCTGCAGGTGAGATAAACCCAAACACACTCCTTCATGCACAATGACATGGGGATCATCTGCTCCCAGGATCTCAGGAGCAAGACGTGAAAATTTGACCTTCGGCATAGCCAAAGATGCACGCGCACATACACACACACCACACACACGCGCGTGAGCACGCACACACCCTGCCCTTAACTTCCTCACCACCCCACCACTCCCTGCACTGTGACTGAGAGAAGCCATGGGCAAGGTTTGCTCATGCACAGAATCTGACTCAAGCAGCAGAGCTGGTGAGGGAGGTGGGATCTGAGGTCTAGGGAAGCAGGGAATAGGAAGGTGTTCAGAGGTTGTGGAGAAAGCTACGAATCATAAGAGCAACAGGGCTGGCAGGGGGAACATCAGACTCCCCAGATTACCATCTGTCTCAGTCAGGATGGGCTGAATTATGCTGCAACAACAAACAATCCTGAAATCTCAATGATTTAACCCTTATCCCCCACCGCCAAGAATGTTTATTTCTCTCTCAGCATCCTATCCAGGTCAGCGGGGGTTCTGCTCTAGGTTCAGAAGCAGAAGCTGATGGAAATGCCATCTCAACACATGCTTCTCCAACAGCAGAGGCAGAGAGAACTCTGGAAGTTTTGTGCTAGTAATTAAATGCTCATTAGCCAAAACTCATCCATGACTCTACCCACCCACAAAAGAGCTAGAGATTGAGTCTTCCTTGAGTCCAGAAGAGAAACCGGATCTCAGAGGCAACACTAACAACTCCCACACCCAGAAGCTGGATTCTCAGGCTTTGCAAAATGCCTACTTTTTTCCTATCAGCCCTTTGAGTCTGGATATTCCTTCACTTCCTGATGGATGGATGGCACGCTCTGGGAGCTCAAGGGAGGAGTGTAGGGCTTGGCTGGGTGTTGAGTGAAACTGGGAGGTTTCCTGTCTCCAGAACGGACGACCCAGGGAATCACAGCTGCTCCAACGTTGTCCAGTCTCCTAGTACCCTACCCACCGACACACACACACAGACGTCAAACCAAAAATGAAATAGGAGCCAATTATGTTGGTTTTTATTGAACTCATTGGGCTCAAGGACAAACAAACAAAATAAAAGGAGGGGGCTTCATAGCAGGAGGACAAGAGCCAGGGAGAGGCTACGTATACACGCAGGCCGGGGAGCCTGGCCCTGAAGGAACTGCAACTAGGTCCAGGTAACCTGGGCTCTATTTCTAACCCTCCCCTTAAAGATGCTGGGGTTAGAGGGCTCTCCACATGGCAGATCCAGGGCATACATCTCTCTTGCCCAGTTTCCAGGCTCTTCCAGAGAAAGCCATTGGATTGGTCCCAGAGTTGGAGGAAAGTGGAAACAAACAGGCAAGATAGGAGTAAGTTTGGGGATGGGGGCAGGGAGGCTGGGAAGGAGAGCTTAGAGTCCCAAGCTGGGGATCCCGATGGGAGGAGGTAGATTCTGACAGGAGAGGGAAGTAGGAGGCTGCCCAAAGTAAGGCAAGGGGTGATGGGGCTGCTTCCTTTCGGAGGGTCCGTTGTGCGTTTGACTTTAGCCAGCAGCTTCTCACCCTGAATACTGTTTTCCTGGTCCCTCACAGCTCAGGGTCCAGTTCATAGGATGCGAGAACCATCTTGGGTGGGAAAGGTCCCCACCTGCAGAGAAGTTCCAGGCTGATGGAGATCAGGGAGGGCGAAAGAGCCTGGGGTCCAGGAGAAACTGGCCCTCTTTATTCTTGGGCCTTTCTTCCAGGGTGGCAGGAGGAAGGGGTTAAATGGAGACACTGTTCTCGATCAGGGGAGGGTCCAGGTAGGTATAGGGCAGCGCCAGGCCCTGGTTCCGCTCCCGGATGTCCTGAGAGATCTGGGCCAGGCGGCTCTGGAAGGCCGCGATGCTCCGCCGCGGGGCCTCCTCGGTGAAGTGCTCATCCGGGTACGTGCCCAGGGGCCGCTGCGGGAAAATCAGGTGCGGGGGTCAGGGTGATGTGCAGGGTAGGATGAAGAATAATGAAGGACTGCAAATGCAGTCAAGGGTGCTTCTAAGGGCATGAACCGCGCACAGCTCCTGTAAACGCAAACCCTTCAAACCACAGCCCCAAAGCACCACCCCACGCAACCGCAACCCGCAAGGAGGAGCCCCGACACCCACAGCTCGTGGAGCCTGGGGAGCGAATGGGACCTGGGAGCCAGCCAACCAAAGGTTAGTGCTCCCTCTGCTGGTAACCCTTTGCCTATTACTCTGACTCAGTTTCTGCCCGCGAAAATGGACCGGTTGGACTAGAAAATCTCTGCAGGCCCCTTCCAGTGCCTGGTCCACTGCTCTGTGAACTAAAAGAACGCAACCGCATTCATAACACAAAGGAAAGCAACGTGAACACGCTCCAGCAAATGTGCCCTATTTATACATCTCACAAGAGAACAACATTCAACCCCTGAAGACAACCAGGCCTGAGGTAGCTTCCCAATCACCCAACATTGTGAAATTTTTGCCAACACAGTCACCACGACCATACACTGTCACACTGCACGGCGTGGCCAACCACAGTCAAGAAATACTGCGATGAGCTTCTGTCAGTGCCCTCCTGCGGCAGCCCAGGGCTGCCTCTCTCCTCGGCCGCGCCACGCACCCAGTTCTCCGTCATCGGTCGCGGGGCCAGCCTCCTAAACAGCCCGCACCTCCTGCCCAATATGACCTTCATGCTATGTAACTGTTGCCTAATAGTGGTGTTTGAAAATTCCTTGTCTTGTTTTACTACCCTAGTAAAACCTTCTAGAAAAGTACTAAATGACATCAGCAACAGTGGGCATTGTTTTCTTGTCCCTGACTTTAAAAAGGAGACCTCTATTGTTATACCATAACTATAGTGTTTTGTTTTCTGGAATATACTTTTTATCAAAATTCCATAAGGGGGTTTCATTTTACATTGAGTTTTTATTAGCAATGGCTGTTCACACTTACCAAATGCTTTTTTGACCTATATTGAGATGATTATATGGTGTGTTTCTTTACTGATGTAACAAATTATATTGTTAGATTTCATAAGGTTTAACCAACCTTTCATTCCTTTCATTCCTAGAATAAACTAAACTTCGTCATGGTGTCTTATTGTTTCACGACGTACTATTGGCCTTCCTTGGCTGATGATATATTTTTAAGATTGTTGTAGTTAAGTGGAACAAGTTTATGATTTTTATTTTCTTAATTACAGCCAGTAGGACTGTCACAATGGCACAACAATCTTGTAAGACGGGTACTCTTGTCATTCTCACTTTACAGATAAAGACTCTGGGGCCCGCAGTGGGGAAGGTGGGGGAGGGCTGGGGGTGAGTGATGAACAGAGGAGGCTGGGCTTGGGGTGGTGAGCACACAGCACGGTGTACAGCTGGTGTGTTCTGGAATTGAGCGCCTGAACCCTGTACAATTTTGTTAACCAGTGTCACCCCGATTAATTCAATAAAAAGAAAAAAATTCAATAAAAAGGCGTGGATCTGGGATAGGCACTCTCTACCGAAGGCCCTCCTCCCTCCCTAGGGGCACTGCCCTTGCCAGGGGCTGGTATCAGGGTCCCCAGGAAAACAGAACCCAGTAAAGTCATTGGGGAAACTTTCACTTCTTTCTATACTTTCAAGCAGTTTGAATAATTTAGAAATTACTTGTTCCTTGAAGATTTATTAGAATCTCCCTTTGCAACGACAGGAATCAGACCTTTTACAACCTTTTCCATTTATGTGTAGTTTTCATCTCTTCTGCTGTTAAATTTTGCTTGTGTTTTCCTAGAAAATCATTTAATTCATCTAGATTTCCACATTTGTTTGCACAAAACTGTAAGTAGAATTTCTTTTTAATTTCTTCAGTCTTCCCTGTATTTGTGGCTGTATGCCTTTCCCATTCCTAATGCCGTGCCTTTATGTTCTTTCTTTTTTTCTTGACAAGAATCACCTCTGATTCCTTTTATTGATTTTTTTCAAAGAATCAGTTTTATGTCTGATTTACCAAATAGGCTTTTAACTTCTAAAACTATCATTGTTTAAAAAGCAGAACACAGAAGTACGACAGACCAGGTTCAAAGCCTACTTACTAGCTGCGCGACCTTGGACAAATGGCTTAGCGTCTCTGAACCTCTGTTTTCTCTTCTATAAAATGGAACTACCATTTCTTGAATAGTAGGAATATGCTAGACACTGTATGAAGTAGTTTAAATATAGCTACTTATTTATTTTGTATTTTAAAACAGTGGACATCCGGTATCTGAAATGACTAAGATGATAGATCCTCAAAAAGGGATAGCTGCTTTTACTGTGGTTATTATAATTTTCAGCTGGCTCATGGGGAGGGAATCCTCCATCTTCATCCTCTTGCCTACTCACCCCTCTTCACTGGGATACTGTGATTTATAAGAAATATCTATATTTGCTCTTCCTCCTATTCCTGGCACAGAGCTCCTAAAACCCTTAAAATGTCCTGGTAGCATTACAGGCGTCTTTTGTTACTCAAAATAAGCCTCTTTCAGTCACACCTGAATTTATGTTAATGGGGTGATGTCTGAAAAGCCCCCCTCAGCTGGTTACCCATGGGAATCCACCCTGTGATTAGAGTTGGAACATTTAGTCCCACACCTCAACCTCTGGGGAGGGGAGGGGCTGAAGGTTAAATTAATCCCCAATGGACAACAGTTTAATCAATCTTTCCTATGTAATAAAGCCTTCATTAAAAATCGCTACAATGCAGGTTTGGAGAGCTTCCAGGGCTGGCGAGCGCGCGGAGGTGCTGGGAGGCGGCATACCCCGGAGCGCACGAACGCTCTGCGCCCCTTCCCGCGCGCCTTGCCTTGTGCGTGTCTGCCATCTGGCAGTCCCCGAGTGGTAGCCTCTTCTAATAAACGTGTAATCTAGACACTGTTTTCCTGAGTCCTGGGAGCTATTCTAGCACATAATCAAACCCGAGGAGGGGGCTGTAGAAACCTCTGATTTATAGCTGGTTGGTCAGAAACACAGCTGACAACCTGGACTTTCATTTGGCAGTTGGCATCTGAAGGGGGGCAGCGGCAGCCTTGTGGGACTGAGTCCTTCACCTGTGGGACCTGACACTACCTCTGGGTAATGGGGAATTGAGCTAAATTATAGGACACCCAGTTAGAATTGCTTGGGGTGAACAACCCCCATGCATTTGGTAGCCTGAAGTCTTGAGTAAGAGTATTGAGCGTTGAGAGTAGTAATAAAGTATTCTGTGAGTAGACCAAGAAAAGAGAGTTTTTCCTTTATAATGACAGAAATGAATGGCTCACAATCCTCGGGAGATGGGACCAGAAAGGATCAGGACCCAGGGATGAGTGACTGCCATTCCCAGGCATGAGATGGTAAGTCAGAGCTTGTTAAGGGTATAAAATATCTGATCAAATGGAGTCAGGCAGGAGATATGAGGATATTCTTGTAATGTCAGAGAGCTTGTGAACAAACCCAGGAGGGCAGAGGCATGACTGATAACCCAGCGTGTACCTGGAGATGATGGCGATTGGTGATTCAAGGGCTGCTCACCTCCGTGAGGCCGAGCCTAAGGAACGCCTCCTCCCTGTAGTTCCTGCCTCCAAAAGAGCCCCTCTCATCCCTTGACACAGCCACGGAAGCACTGCTCGCTAAAACCCAAACTTAGCCTCTTCACCGCAGGCTTAAATCTCTTCAGTGTCTCTCCATTGTCTTCTGAATGAACACTGTGCCCACACTGTGCCACTTGTGATCCTTGGGACACACCAGGGGACTCTCGCCTAGAAATGAATTCTGCCTCTCCTTTGTCTCTCAAACCCCTACTTGTCTCACACGTTTCAGCTTAAATGTCACTTCCTCCAAGGAACCTCCTTGGCTTCTTGGCAACCCCACACTGGTCAGGTTCCAACAGGGCCCCGTCCGCACCTCTGCCGCTAGACTGTGGTCATCTCACGAGGCCAGGGTTCATATCTGCCCATCAGTGCCTGGCACTTTGCAGGTGCTCGAGGAGTACATGTTCAAATGGAGGAATGAGTACCTAAATCATTCCTACAGTACTGGTACTCCTTTGCATTTATCTGTGTTTCCCCTCAACTATACGATAGGACTCTTGAAGGCAGGAAGGTCTTACTCAGCTTCACGTGCCTGGTGCCTCGCATTGTATTGGCACAGGAGAGGTATTCCAAAAATGTGTGTTGAATGTTTAGGTGAATGGATAAGTGGCTGATGGATGAAGAGCTGTTGGATGCAAGAATAAATGGTTTTTTGGGTGGATGGGTGGATGGACGGATTGGTAAACTGGTGAATTGCATGGACGTTGTACCCAGCCACTAACTGGTGTTTGCTTCAATGTATGTCTCTTGAGATCAACTATCATTTTCTAAAGAAACTGAAAAACCCACAGCAGCTCAGCAGTGGACATAAATGCCAGCAGTCACTCTCCAAGTCTCCCGGGAACAGCTACCATCACCTCCCCTGCCAAGACCCTGCAAACCCCTACTCCCCTGACCCCACCCCCCACACGCACCTGGTCCTTGGGCTCTTGGCTGACCAACCAGAAGAGGAGAAGATTGTTACAGGTGACGTTCACTTCTGGGAGGGTCTCTAGGTAACTCTTCAGGGTGGTCGTCCCCTTGGTCTGCGGTGGGGGCTGCCTCATGGATGATGGGGCATTAGGCATCCAGGCCCCAAAGTCATGCTGTGGAGACCCCCGCCCCAGTTGAGTCAATTGGCCAGAGGGAGAGGACCAGCTCCTTTATCATCATCCCTGCCCCTGCCCCCTCCCATCCCAGGTCTTACAGCTGGGGCACGAGGGGACTGTGGAAAGGGGAGAGGGGGTGGGTATAGAATGGGAAGTCCCAGCAGTGGAGCAGGAGCCTGGCTCACCCCTGTCGCTCCCCTCCCAGTGTTCCATGACTGGGCGGGATGAATCACCAAGGAAGGAGGAGGGGAGGTAACTCTAGAAATAGGCCCTGGGCTGGCATGGCACACAGAGCACCCTGACACTCCACTTGGCGTCATCCTAACCACGACAGGAGTCCATAAGTTCTACTCCCTGGGCAACACCAATTCGAGCCACCATTACAGCCTCGGACCCAGCTCCACCTCAGCCACCACCCAACCCCAGGCCCTCACTCCACCCAGTCACCACTCCTACCCCATCCCTAATGACAAACCCACCTCCAACCGGACCCACCCACGCTCTCAGCCTGAACTCCGGCCTCCCGTGCATCGCTGAGCCCAGTGCTTCATGGCCCAGTGCCCCCTGCAGCCTCACCTGCCCACTGTTGACAGCAGCGTGTTGGGCGGAACAGTTGAAGATGATCGCTGTGAGAAACTTCACCAGCTCTTTCAGGGTGCACAGCCGGCATGGGAAGCCTGGGCGTGGGAGGAAGGGAAGAGGGTGTGGAGGGGACCGGATTCCTACGGGCAGCTCAGGGCTGGGGCTCAGCACAGGGGGAGAGTGAGGAAGGGAGGGCTGAACATTTGGCCACCACTGCGTTTAGACTAAGATTAGGGTTGGGCTGAGGTTAGGGATGGTCATCGCCAAGGCTGGTGGTCTCTGAAGGCGGTCTGGATGGGAGCTGGGTGCTGGGGTCAGACCAGGAAACACCCAGCTGGCAGAGCCCATGGCAGAGGAGCCAGGTCCAAGCCGACCACCAAGACGCTGCTGTCTGCAGCCCGTATTGGCACTTAACGATTTAAGTCTACTCAGTTCACTATTGTCCAAGCAAGCAGGTCATCTGCTACTGGGCTTAGTCGCAGGGACAGATGACCAGAATGTGCTATTCATAAGCTTGCAGTGATGGAAGGAGAAGGAAGCTCGAAGGCCAGGGCATGGCTCTTTTGAGAGAGGGCAAGCAGGCAGGGCACTAGGGCTGTGTTTCGGGGAAGAGAAGGAGGCTTCCTGAGTAAGAGTGGGTAAGCTCTGAATGGAAAAAAAGATGACAGAGGGAACATTTCAGCCCTTGGCCCTCTTCTCTCCCTGCCTGGTCTCCTCCAAGTCCATGGTTTAACCGCCCCCCAAGCACTGACGATTCCTAAGTTCACACCTCTGGCTGGCTCCCTCCGCCCCTGAACTCTAGATTCAACAGTGGGCTTAAATCTGCGGCTGTCACCTGACAGCTGCCCCTGACTGTCAACAAGCCATCTCAAACTTAACATCTGCAAAACCTAATGCTTGATTTCCACTCTACACACTCCCTAAACCTGTCCCTCCCACAGCCACCCCGTTTGGATAGTCTTTGTCCTGCGCACTCACCGCACGCCAGCAAACGCTTCCAGAAGCCAATTCCAGTAGTTGCATCACCTTGTCTCCACTACTACCCAGTATCCACCATCTCACTCCTGGGTGAGCCTGACTGCTTCCACCATCACCCCTGAGAGCTACAGGAAGTGATCCTTTAGAATCACATATTCAACTCTGTCACTACTTGTTAAATCCCTCTGCAGGCTTCCCATCTCTCTTACCTCCCCACGATCCTACCCAACCTGGCTCTGGGTTGTTCTCTGACTTTGTTTCCTTCCCAACTTTTCTCCCTCTCACTCTATTCCAGCCACACAGACATTCCTCCTAGTCTTCAAACCTGCCAACACGCTCCCACCTTGGCGCCTGGCACTCCCACCTCTGCCTGGCCCGTTAACCCCAGCCATCCACAGAACCAGATCTCTCTTTTCTTTCCCATCTCTGCTCAGACATCACCTCCTCAGGGAGGCCTTCCCTGGCCACCTATCGGAAAGTATCCCCCCACCTCAACACACTAGTGATTTCAGATGCTGTTTCGTTCTTCTTAGCATTCATAACCACCTAACATATGTGTGTGTTATCTGTGTCTCCCGGCAAGAATATTACGCTCCATGAAGGCTGGGATTTTTGGCTGTCCTATTCCCTGCTGAAGCCCAGCACCTAGAACAATACTTAATACATATTAAAAGAGCCCAGTAATGACTGGTTGAGTGAAGTGAGTTCGTGAGAAGGTGAGAAGCCCGAGTGGGAAGCAATGGAGCAGGAGCAAGGGGAAGGGTCAGGGAGGGTACTCATTGGGGGCGAGGCTGCAGCAGGGCGCCAGGCCAGGTGGCTTCTGGGCACTCTTTCAGAGGATTGCCCGGGCGGCGCCCCGCGGGCCGGGCAGGCGAGCGTCTCAAAGCTGGGAGAGGTGGGACTGGTTGAGAAGCAGCTGCCACAATGCGGGAATAGTGAGAGGACTGGGACTAGGGTGATGACAGTGGGAAATTATGGGGACAATAGGATTTACCACCCAACTGGATTTAGGGGAAGAGGAAGACAAAGGGGAGCATGAGTCAAAGACGGCTGCAGGGTTTGGAGTCAGGATGACTGGAGAGAGGCTGAGGCAACAGAGCAGGCCGGGAGGTTTCGAGGAAGGACTGGGTATCAGCCTGGGAGTGTGTGGGAAATTTCTGAGTGCCCTATTCCTGGTTGCTCTGCTAAACTTGAGGGCTGAAAATAAAAAAGTAAAGCCGTCGGATCGTCTCTGGGAGTTTTTCTGTAACTCATATTGATTTCCCCCCTTGAAATATGGAGCAAAGGGCACACTGACTGAGGTAATGAATGAGTGCTTTACCTTAAAACATATGAATCTAGTTTAAGTTTATACTGGGCAGGAGAGATGTTTGCCAGTCTGAAGCACGTTCTGGTGTGTTAAATTAGAGACAAGCTTAATTAAGTAAGATAGGAGAGTGGAGCCAAGGGTAATTATATCCCCTTCTGGGTATTCCATAGGAAACAGACCATCGCAAAGAGAAACTGCCTTCAGGAAGAGGAGCGGTCGGAATCGGGACTGCCCGTGATTAACAGTAGGCTTGCAAAGCTCGGGGAGCGGTCGCCCTTTAAAGGACCCCAAAGCAATCTGGCTGTCACCACCTTTACTCAGAAATCACTCTAGGCATCATTAATAGTGAGACAACCTGACAGTATGTGCCTCCCAGGATGACGCAAGGTGGAGACCACAGCATGCCCTGCGAAATATTCTTGTTTGAGGCCGAAGATGGCTCCCACTGCGTGATGGAACACATCCATCCAACTCAGCAAGCAGAAGAGAATGGATGGGCTTGGACTCATGGAAAGGTCTAGAAGGGGCCAGAGGGGCCTAGGGTAGTGGTTGAAAGCAAGGGCTTTGCAGATCACGGGATCTGGCTCCGGATCCTGCCTCTACCACTTGCTACATAACCTTCTCCATGCCTATTCCTCGTCTATTCATTGGGGCTAATACTAGCATGTCCTTCACACTCTCATCAATAAATAGGAACTGATTAATGGTGAGGCTGGGGGTGGGGGCCCTGGGCCACTGGGAGCCTGTGGTTAAGGGATAGAGAAGGGATACCTGAGCTTTTCCGGCTCAGGAATGCCTGAGCAAAAATCTCGCTGACCCAGGCCTGCAGCTCCGAATCCTGCTGCACAGACGCATCACTGGGGTAATAGTAGCCCACGATTTCTGAGACGAAGCTGCAGGAAAGAGATGCCCATGCCATAGCAGTGACCTTGGGCTCAGGCCTGGCTAGAAAACCATGGTCCAGTGCTGCTCAGGCTGGGGGTAGCCAGCTGGTCAGAGTCCACTGAGAGCCCATGGCAGATCCCCAGATGCAGCTGGAACCTGAGTGCCCAGGCTGCCCTCAAGTCTTACCCCCCATTCCTGAGTCACGCGTGCTCTGGGCCTCCATCCTGCACAGGTGGCGGGAGGAGGGTCCACAGAGGAGAGCCAGACTCATGCTGCATACCCTCCCCGCTCAGCACCCAGGAGAAAGAAGACCTGCCTGCCCGGAGGCCCCAGGCTGCACTTCGCTGTTTCACCTTCTCTGGATACCTGGGCCTTCCCTTCCTCCACTACATTCACACACAGCCCAACCTCTCCCCAGCCCAAAGCTATCTGCCATTTCATAGGGGACCCCGACCCTAACTGTCACCCCTGGGAGGGCCCCAAGCTGAGAACACCGGAAACCCCAGCACCAAGCACCCCAGCCTGCGTCAACACAGAGGTCCAGGCAGCCCCTGGACCAGGAGGGCCTTGCTGAGCCGGGTTGGCTTCAGGGTCCCCGGCCCACACCTCTCAATGGCAGCCCAGATTTTCAGACCGTCATCTCGGTAATGGTAGTGCGGGATAGCCAAAACTCCGCGGGCCCGCAGGCTGTCCGGAAGGCAGAAATTGGTGTAGGTGAAGTGGGCCAGGCCACTGCTCATGAGGTGTAGGAGACCGTGCCTCCCGATGGAGGTGACCTGAGGACACATCACAGCTCAGCTCTGGGGCCCTCCCAACCTCAACCCTGTTGCCTGGGGACAAGATGGGGCTAGTGACTCAGCAGAAGGGATTTTTCAGTTAATCAAGCTCCAAGATCAAGGAATAAAATTACCCATTGGGACTTGACATGGGCTGCCAAGGTTGTGGCCTTACTATGTGCACAGGAGGTAATCCTTAGGTATTTGGTAACTGATGCTAGGGAGGAAAGGATGTGGAGCAGGGCTCGGCCCAGGGTCAGCGAGGGCTTGTGCTTAGGCTGGGAGTACCCCACCCACATCAAGGAGCATTTGGGACTTGACCTGAGGGGTGCGACCCGTACGTGAGAGGGGTGGGCGGAGGAGACAGGGTTTGTGGGTGGGTGCACGTAGGAGACTGAGGGGACGGGAGGGTCTTGGGAAAAGGGGCTGGTTGGAACTGTGGGATGAGATTGGAGGCCGAACTGAGTTAATAGGTCGGGCAAAGTATCCTTCGGAGCGGGACCTCAGAGACGGGGTGGGCTGGGGTCGGGGAGGCCGCACCTTGTCAATCAGGCCGTCAGGGTTGAGCAGCGTGGCGCGGGCGATGGTGTTCACCTGCAGCGTGTACCGAGTGTGGGGAAGCAGGAGCTGCGAGTGGGATGAGGTCACAGGAGCCAAAGGTCAGGGGATGAGGCCGCCCTGGCCCCGCCCCCTCTCGCCCTAACCGGGCGTTGCACCGACCTTGTAGATAGGATGACAAAGTGGCAGCTGACGCAGCGTGGCCATGGCGAAGGCCTCGCACAGCAAATGCGTGCACAGGAAGTGAGTGTTGTTCTCGTGCACAAGGAACTCAGAGTTGCGCACCCACGTTTTGGCCAGCAGCCAGTCCCAGTCTGAGTCAGTGGGCAGAAAGATGGGGCTATCGGGTCCGGGGGTCTGGCTGAGCTGCGTCCAAGAATGATAAGGGGATGAGAGTTAAGACGCTAGTGTGCCCCTTGAAGCCCCACCTCCAAAAGCCCTCCCCAGGCTCACCTGGATGGCTAAGGGCATTAGCGCCCCCTGGGGGTTGAGCCACAGCAGGCAGAGCGGGGCAGCCAAGTACTGCTGGCGGCCGTTCAGGCACTGGACGGGGATATCCTCTAGGATCCAATAGTCGGCTAGGAAGATGTTCCCTCTCTGCGGAAGACGCACAGAGCCTCAGGGTAACCTTCCCACCCGCGCTCCGCTTTTCTCCCTGTTCTCTGCCCATTTCCACCTCAGCTCTGGCCTCGGTAATGCTTGCTATCTGCACTCATGGTCAATGCTGGGCACCCCGCCCTTCCCAGAATGGTCGGAATGAGGTCCTGCAGAATACCTCGTATTGCGACCTCTCTCAGCTGGCTTCTCAGCTTGGACAAGCCTTCATCCTCTCCCCTTCTGCCCATACCTGGTCCTTCCTACTCTCAACGCAGATGACATCAGGGTATGCAAGAAAAACAAAACCACCAACCACATCTCCAGTCTTCTGGAGGATACCTGAGGACTTGACTGTTTCAGAGAGACTGGATCATCTTCTCCCACACCCTCAAAACTCCTAGTTCTCTGTGATTCTACCTGCTGTATCTGGTGGCACCGCCTGTCCTAAAAGAGCCTACTTTGGGCATCAGCACTTAGGATCTTAGAGGCCCAGAATAGAGGGAGAGCCTCCTCCAAACTGTCCTGTTCATTCATACCACTTCAGTGAGTCCTGAACATTCCTATCACTTCCCCGGACCCCAGGCCAGGCTTCAGGTCACCCCCAGTGCCACCTGGCCCTCAGCCACAGTTACTCTCCTTAAAAGGTGCAGGGCCAGGGCCGCCCAGAGGATGAGGCCCGCAGGCTGCAGGCAGCCCTGGCCCTCCCATCCTACTCTTCACACCATCCTTTCTCCATCACGGCAACTCACCCACCTCTAGCTCTGTCTGCAGACAGGTGCCAGGTCCCAGCAAGGGGGCCACCATGTCACTGGTGACAGGCAGCTTACTGGGCAAGCTGGAGAGGCAGTGGAGCATGACAGGATTGACGCCATTCAGGTACTGGTACCCGAAGAAGTAGTCCTCACACCAGTGCTCTGTGACATATTCTAGAGGGCAAGAGGGGGCAGGACTAGTTGGTCTGGAAACTACCTCCCCAGATCCTGCAAAGCCCAGCACTTTGCTCATTGCTATGGTTTAGGATTTCCTCACAGCAACCCTATGAAGTACGTGAATTACATCTTCATTTAACACCGGCCACTGAGAGTCAAAGAGATGGAGTAAGTTGCTTAGTCGTGTGGCATAACAGGACTTTGAACCTAAGTCTGGCCCCAAAGCCCAGAACGCTTGGTGGGGAGGCTGGGGGGAAGAGAGGTGAGTGCTCCTGGTCAGGAGCAGGACTCCCTAAATGACACTTGACTCTTTCTCAGGCAAGCAGAGTATCTCTCATCCTCACCCCCCTGTTCTTGCCCCCCCCGGAGGAAGGGGAGATGCGTGGGTTCCTGAGGGGGGTCTGTGAGGCTGCCACCAGTGAAACCAGGAGCCCCTCCCACTGGAGCCCAGCAGTCTCTTGGGAATGCTGGGGAGGGCGCTTTCCCCGGACGGGCAGAGGGCTGTGAGCATGGGACAGGCTAGCGGATGGACGTCTCCTGCTTGGCTCTGCACACCTGAAGTGAAGGTCTTGCGGCACCAGAAGACATTCCGTATGTCATCCAGCTTCTTCCAGGAGCCCTTTCGGTCAAGCAGCCCTCGAAGCTTCATGCCCAAGGACCTGCGGGGTAGAGGAAGTGAAGGTGGAGTCTGGGGCTGCCAGGAGCACTGTGTCCGCCGCCTAGAGGTCCGGGGGGGTAACTGACAAGGTCAATGGGCTTGCCCAGGACCCACCTGCCCTCCCCTCCCCTCTCCTTCTCCCTGTGGCTCAAAGCCTGCTTTAGTCCCTCCTGCCACCCCAGGAGCCACCTCCTGCCCACCCACCCTGACATCCCTGTCTCCTCTAGACACCAGAGTATGGACTGTACCCTCTCCAACCATGTCACACTTAGAACTTCAACTGTTGCCTTGAGCTGCTAATGACCCTTCCAATTGCTAATTAACTATGTTACATGTCTTCCTAGTGATACTGAGCTCTTCCCTGCCAAGATTATATCCGACTACTACTAGCATCTATTGACAGGTTATTTTGTGCTGGGTGTTACTTCATTAAATTCACTCCCAAACCTAAGAGGTAGGTATGAGTATTATTGTCATTTTATAAATGAGGAAACTATTCAGCGGCTAAGTGAAATCAGGTTCACACAGTTAGAAAGCATTGGTCCTGGGAATTGAAACTGAGGTGGTCTGACCACCTCCTTAAAGCCTAAGAGCCAGCCCTCTCTGTTCTACTCAGTATGGTCCCAACAGTGCCTGGGACCATGCTGCGCACAGTTAATGGTATTGGTTTGAGGAATAAAAAAAGAAAGTATGAATAAGGAGCAAAGAGGAGGTGATGGGAAGATAGAGAATGGAGGAGTCTAAGGAGAGAGAGGAGACTGGGGGCCAGAGAGGAGACTACAGGCCACATACGGGAGACGAGGGGACAATGAGAGGGAGACTGGAGGCAGGAAGGAGGGAGAGCGAAGCAGAATGTGGCTGTGCACTGAAGGGGCAGAGGCAGACAAGAGAGGGGCAGGTGTGCAGAGCGGGCAGCTGCCTCACGGAGGGACGGCCTTGAGGATCAGCGAGGTCGTCTTGGTGGCTGAGTATCTAATATTGGGCTCCATGTGCAGCAGCGGCGGGATGTCAATTTTCATGGGGAAGAAAGGCAGGTACCGATTCCCACTGCTAGGGACGGGGGTTGTGGAGAAGAAGAACAGAGAACAGTCAGAAAGATCTGCTGCTCCCTTCCCTAATCCCTTCCCTTTCTCCACCCCCCCCCCCCTACTTGCTAGGCCTCCCCTCACTCCCACTTTCCCCTGCCCTCTCCCATCAGAACTGAAACCACCTCCTCCCCCTGCCAGGCCCCTGGGCCATCCCAGCCTATTCCATCCCCAACACTTGGATTCAGTTGCACTTATCATAGTTCCCAACTTCTCTTTCCAAGCTGCCTGGGTTCCAGCCTCCCAGCAGATGCTCCAGTTCACACCCTCCACCTTCCTCCCAAAGCCCACGTCCTCCCTTACCTGTCGTCCTGGTCCGCACAAGGTGTTGTCCTGGTCAAGGCAAATTTGTTGTCTGATTCCATCTCCTCAAAGCTGCTGACGTCCACGATGCCCGGGAAGCCAGGGGCATAGACTTTCCAGCTTCCAGGGAAACGAGGTTAGAGGTGGTAAGTCGAACTTAGGGTACACAGGAACTTTGGCTTTTAAAGGCGTGCCTTGAAGTTAAAACTCCCAAGACTCCCACTTTCTGGGTAGGTGACAAAAATTGGGAGTTTCTCCCTGAGGCACTGGGCTTCAGACCAAGGTAGGATTAGAGGATGACATGAATGTCCAGGCTGTGTTAGGGTCAGGTTTGTGCTAAGGTTACGATCGTGGACAGTTTTGGAGTGAAGCTGAGGGGGTGAGTCTGAGGATGCGCTGAGCTTCATCAGTACTCAGGTCACATGAAGGGTAGCTGGGGCGGAGTGCGGATTCGTTGATGCTTTTGAGACAACTATTGGTACTGGTGTTCTGAGTCCAGACTCACAGTCAGTATTAGGTTGAGGTTAGGTTTAAATAATGGTCCTGGTTGGAGTTTGGGCCCCCAAGGTTGGCACTGAGGTCAGAGTTAGTAAAGCGATTAATTCTGAGGTCAGAATAAAGATGGCGAAAGAAATCAAATGAGGCCATCCTCACCGGTAGCATTGCTGTCGGGCCTCGAGCTCCCGTTTCCTGTGGTCCAGAAGGATTGGAAGGGAGTCTTGACAAATAGTTCGCGCTGTGGGAAATGAAAAGTACTCATCGTTTAAGTCTTTTTTCAAACAACTTCTTGAGCAAAGCTTGCCTGAACCCCTTAACCTTTGTGTCCAATCTCTCAGTGACATAGATACCCCATTTTCTTTGTGCATTCATCAGTGGAAGGGATCCGGGGCAGTGAAACTATAACAACATTCCACATTGTTTGCATGTTTGTCTCCTTCCCAAGACTATAAACTCTTTCTGGGCAGAAGTCACATTGTATTCACTTTTCGTATTCTCAGCCTCTAGCATGGTGCCTAGCGCAGTGCACATAGCATGCACACACTATACAAGACAAACATATAAGAGTGTATTTTGTGAAGTGATGAATGGATTCCTATGATGATAGATGAGGGTTCAGAATGAAATCTATGAAGAACTCACTATGGGCCAAAGGGTAATGTTCACTCTCCTTACCTTGATCTAAAACAGCATCTCTCCCTAAGACTCATCTCAAACCGTAGACTAGCCCTAGTTTTACCTTTCTAGATCAGGCAGCTCAGGAGGGGTCCAGAGGCTGAAGGAGCTAGAGCCCAGCATTCTTGAAAGGCCACCCAAATTCAAGAAGGAATCCTAACAGCACCCCACAGGGACTTCATCCACTCTGGAAAAGTCAGTAGTAGTGGACGGGGACTTTTTAGCTAAATTCTCTCAACATTCAGGGCTTCTCCACCTGTTGAAATTCACCCAGTTTGCAGGTTAGCTCCTCTCTGGGCTCCAGGGGACTCCATTTTGGGGATGTGCAGAGGGAGTCAGCAGAAAGAAAACTGCCCTCCGTGTGTGTTTGTGTCTGTGTCTGGGTGGTGTGAGTGTGCATTAGTATGTGTCTAGTCTATGTGTGTCTCCAGAGGGGTACATACTGTCCAGAAACCCCTGCCTTTCAGAGCTTCAGAGGTTCACTTTTTTCCAGAAAGCATCTACTTGGGAGCCCTCAACTTGTTACACTAACCCCAACCCTATTTCCTACACCCCGGGCTCGTGGAGACCCTGCCCCTAATCCCAACAGATGCTTTTTGCAGCCCAGGCCAGCCCTTGCCTCTGGCCCACCTGTTCCTGGTCGCAGCTCTATAACGCAGTAGCCCTCAATCCACTGATAGCAGGGAAAGTGGAAATGGGTACCATCTGGGGCTGTGACACAGATGTGGCTGCAGTACCAGGAGTCTTTGGGGAAGAAAGCATAGCGCTCCTTGTGTAGACGCAACAGCAAGAGCTCACCCAGCTCTGCTGAGCAGCGCACCTTGTACTTCTGCACCTGAGGGGACCAAGAGAGGGAGAGGGTGAGAAGCAAGGAACTGCCAGAGCTGTCCTTGCACCTTGCAAAGAGCAGCTATGCCTATGCTTATTCTGGCATAGAAACCTGAGCTGCTGCTAACCCATGTGATGTTTTGTAGGTATTAGAAAAAAGCCTCCCCTCATAGGGCAGAGGCAACCACAGCCACCACAGGCAAGGGAGGGTTCTGGATTTCACTAGGCCCCTTGGCGGCCGACTTCTCCCCAAGACCCATCAGCAAAAAATCCTGGGACCTGGTAGAGACAGGCTGATCCCCCCAGGAAGATGAAACCCAGACTATGGGAGGTCAAGCGATTTGCCCAAAGCCCACCTTCAGTTTTGAGAGGAGGAGTTAGGAAGCCAGGGGAATTCTTCTGACCCTCCTGCCCAGGGCTCCTTCACAGCCCTTGTCCAGGTAAGATTTATTATCCCCAGGAAAGACAAGGAACCAGACAGAACCATGGATGGTGAAGAGGTCAGGGCCCGCATTCTGAGTTCTTCAGGATTTGATGAGCCCTGAGGGAAAACGGTCCCCTCCTTCAGGGTCCCCTGTCAGCCCTGCCCCTTGGGTCGCTCCTCCCTCTCTCTGTACTCACCGATCCAGGGGCAAAGTCCCTGCCCAAGCGATCCAGCAGCTGCTTGGGGCTCTCGCCACACATGCCCACCAGAGTGACAGAGATGTTGTCCAGTGTGCCTGCCCCCAGGTAGGCACCAGTGGTCACACGCACGCGGTACACTGCCATGAAGAGAGAGAAGGTGGGATGCCCTCAGACAAAGTTAGCCCCAGCAGCAGCTGGCCTGGAGGTGCGCCGCAGACCCGGCAGGTCTGGACTGCTGGGATGCTGAGGGGAGGTCTGAGGTGGGAGGTGTGGGGGCAGACCTGGCCTCTGAGAAAAGGCTCAGCTCTCTCTGAGATGCTCCCTGTCCAGAAACTCCTGGCCTCTGCCCTTGCTCACTGCCGGCTCCCCCTCTCCGCCCACACTCGCACCCTAATAGTTGTTTGCTTCCCTCTGGCACAGCCGGTCCCTCAGGCTGGCAGAACAGGGCGGATCACCCGGATGGATATCAGGAGCTCGAGCCCCATTGGGAAGGGAGGGACCAAATGCTGAAAAAGAGGGAGTAGGTGACGTCTGTATGATTGGAACATTGCCCTCCTCCTCGTCAGGGGACCTGCAGATACGCTGGGGCCCTTGTCCGTCCCTCCACACCCAAATTCCCCCACAAGACCCTTTCTTCTTCTCTCAAACGCAACTGGGAACAGAGCACCCACATTCCCGCTTGTGAATCATCCATGTGAATCACTATACACAAGTGATACACACTACCGTAAACCACACGTGACTAGAGCCACACGCAGGTGAGTCTCACATGTATTCCTGCAAACTCGATAGGGGTCAGAAACAACTCTCCTGTCACCCCACGCACTCCGCACCACCCTCTCACGCCCAGTCCTCCGTGTCCCCCGTCTTCGGCACACCAGTATCAATCTCTCCCTTGGAATGGGGCCCGTCTAGGTACCGAAGTGCACTCCAGGTGCACAGCATCTGAAAGCCCCATGTGGCATTCTTCTGCTCCTAGCCCGCCCTCGACCTTTGGGCGGGAGCGGGGGTGCCGGGGTGCCTCGAATTCACGTCTTCCAGATTAGCCAGAAACCACCCCGCGTGGGAAGCCGGCAGCAGGCAGCCGGCAGCGACCTCGCGCGGCCAGTCTCGGCACTGCACCATCCCAGCCTTCGTTGCGCTCCAGCCTTAGCAAACCGAACTCCACGGGAACTGTGCTCGAGAGAGGCTAAGAAGCTCTATCAGCAGTAGCTCGGCTGCTCCAGCTCCCTAGAGTGTGCCGGAGTCCTCTGAACACGTACATACAATTACCCCTCGGTTTAGCGAGCGTGAACTTTTACAAGTAATATACTATTAAGGATAGTGGAGCAGCTTTCATGCAGGAGCCCGGATAGCTCAGTCGGTAGAGCATCAGACTTTTAATCTGAGGGTCCAGGGTTCAAGTCCCTGTTCGGGCGACTACTTTTTCTACCTAAACACCACCGTTCTCCTTTTTTAGTACAATTAGTATTCGTACTCCTTCGAACAAAAAAAGGAAAAGAATAAAGAAAATACTATTTCTTAATTTTAGAAGGAAGTGGTGGCAGGGCCGCTGCCATTATAGACACGAGTCTTGTGTAACCTATCTAGCTAGCCAGGGTCACTAAGGTGCTGATCAGAACCGTTCCCCCAGGGACGGTGCACGCAGGTACGTGTGAAATTCGTGGACGACACGAGTCGCTCCATCATCCACAGCGTGAAAGGCCCTGTGCATTAGGGCGCATGCTCACCCTATTGGAGTCACAGCGAGAGACTCCGACGCTGCGCTGGATTTGCGTCTGGGTCTTGGATGTCTGGGTGGACCACAGGGCCCATGGGGGATGATATTCGAATATTAACAAAGAGTTTTTATAGTCTGTAAAAAAAAAAAAAAAAGTAGTATTAAGTGCGTCGCGGGTTTTAGTTTTCAGAAGGCAGAACGAATAACGGGAAGGAAAGCAAAGATGTTTTAGAACATTACATATGCGAGTCACATACACTAATTTACGTTTTCTAGTAGCTGTATGAAAAAGAGTAAAATGTTCCACCAAAGTGTATATACACTAAATGTGTGCAGTTTTTGTATATCAATTATACCTAAATAAGGCTAAAAATGGAATAATAATAGTAGAAGAAGAAACTGTGGATGTGCCAGGAGTTCTCTGTACTTTCTGTTCAAATTTTCTGGAAACCTAAAACTGTTCTAAGAAATAAAATCTGTTATTCCCATTGAGCTGCGAGCGGCTTCAGGGGCGTCTTTAGGAGTCAACAACATAGCAGAAGACATCAAGACCAAAATCAAGAACAACAAGATTGTCCCTTCTGATAGCCGCTTCCCCAACCAGAATGAGACCAGAAACTGTTGGCACAACTACCTGGATTTCCACCGCTGTGAGAAGGCAATGACTGCTGAAGGGGGTGAAGTTTCCGTGTGTGACTGGTACCGGCGTGTGTACAAGTCCCTTTGCCCCGTATCCTGGCTGTCGGCCTGGGATGACCGCCGGGCACAAGGTACATTTCCTGGGAAGGTCTGAACTGGCTGCACCCCACCTGTCCTCTGTCTTCCATCCTTCTCCCAGAGAGGTGAAGGGGGGACCTGGGTACATCCCATCCTAGGATCCTGAATTATGGCTTAACTAACAATAAATATCTGTTGGAAAAGTGTAACAAAAGAAAAAAAGAAAATCTTTTCTGTAAAAACAACAGTCGAAATTAATTTTCATAACATTTTATTTAACCCAAAATATTAAAAATCTTAGCATTTTAACACATATTAACATTTTCATATTCATGAAATTACAATTTTTATGCTAAGTACAGTTTCTATTTTACACTTACAGTACATCTCAATTCGTATTTCAGATGTTCAATAGCGGCTTCTACCTTATCCGACAGCTGTTCTTATGTTATTTTGTCTTCTGTAAAGGGCGGAGTGCAGAGGAGTAAGTAGAACAGGGGGTTCGCTAATGTATAATGATTCAGAAAAGACGGAGAGCGAGCGGGTTCCATGGTGTAATGGTTAGCACTCTGGACTCTGAATCCAGCGATCCGAGTTCAAATCTCGGTGGAACCTTGAGCTTTGTTTTCATTACCAGTGCGTCTTATTAGTTTTATAAATGAGGTGCTTTTATGATCTGAGGATCTAAAAAGAAAAACTACAAACCGATGAGCTTTTCGGGGCGGATAGTTGGATGCTCTAGCACACAGTTAGGAAAACACACAGTAAGTCACTTAAATGTGTTTATGAACGAGTGTACTTATTCTGAGATTTGAGAACGTCATTTGAGGACATGTTAAAGGGGAGATAAGCCGTGAAGAAATGAGGGTTACTTTGGCAGTTTCCTTCAGGTTTTGGTTTGGGACCAGAACACAGTCCTAGCTAAAACTACGTCTGGAACTACCAGAAAGGGAAGATTAGTGAGAATTCCAGCAGGAGTCCTCGTAAAATTGAGGAGGACCCCACAGGGGCTTATATAATTTTCCATTGTGTATAACCCACGGGAAAAACTCTGACTTGGCAGCGGTGGGATTCGAACCCACGCCTCCGAAGAGACTGGAGCCTAAATCCAGCGCCTTAGACCGCTCGGCCACGCTACCTGCGTGAAGTGAAGGTTCCTCCGCAGTCCTCCTAAGAGACTGTGGAGAAGTAACCGAGTAATGGTCGTATTTAATTAACCGTTTTTTTGTTTGAAAGTAATCTAGACTCAGAACTCTGAACCTGCGGATGGCAGAGCAGGTAGACTAAAGGAAACAGCAACACAGAAATTTACAACGAAACAAGTTTATTTTGATGGGTGAGGCCACATCTAGGGAGTGGGGTGCGCCTGGGCTGGAAGCATCCCCCAAGCAGGCAGCCGGAGCTCTGTAGCTCACCCCCTCGCTCCTATTTGGTTACTCTCTCTCTTTTCTTCCACCCATGTGCGCCCGCACTCCCACCTGGTTCACCTGCTTTGCGCCCGCTCTCCCAGGCAGGCCTCCGAGGTTCAAACCACGCGTTCTTGGCACACATCCTCCCCTCCCCCATGCTATTACCCGTAAACCATCAGACGCCACAGCCCACCAGTGGGCTCTGTGGCGCAATGGATAGCGCATTGGACTTCTAGTGATGAAATGAGCGATTCAAAGGTTGTGGGTTCGAATCCCACCAGAGTCGATTTTATTCAACTTTCTTTTTTCCTCTATATCTAGTTTTTGCTTAAAGGTCCCCCATCCCTTCTCCCTCTACCCTATCTCTGTGTTTCCCACCTGTTTTCAGCTGCAACCTCAGTCTTCGCTCTGCTCTCTTCTTTACTTACCTGTCTGCCCCGGGGCTTGGGCCATGGAGAGCAGGACTGGGGTGGTGGGGGCGGAGGGAGGGATGGGAGACATAAGGAAGGGGAAAGTGGGCGTGGACGCCGAGATAAAGGCAGGCCCCTGGCTCTGGGACACACGGGGGTTTAATAACCACTTTATTCCATGCACTAGGGACTCGAGAAGGGACTGGGGCTGGGCCGGGGGCAGAGAGGGTACAGTCCTAGACGCGGGGGTGGGGAGTTAGGGGAAAGGGACAGAAACCAGGGAAATATATATTTATATAGATACTCTAATATAGACCACATCTCACCCGCGCGCTGCGCCCGCGCGCCCCGCCGCCCTCCCCAACACCTCCTCACCCCGACGCCCGGGTCCCTCTCCTGCCCTTAGGCTGGAGTCTCTACCTACCCCCAGCCCCGCCCCCACCCCCCAAAGCTTAGGGCCAAGGTCTCCAGAAAGCGGGCGGCGGGGGCGGCGGGGCCTTGGGCGCCCCATCTTGTCTGTGAGGCGGCGGAGGCGGCGGCAGCAGTCCGGTGAGGGGCGCCCGCTCGCCGGAATCCCCGGCGCGGGGGGAGCAAGGGGGCGGGGACCAGGCACAGCGAGGGCTGGAGGAGCCCTGGTGCACTGGGGGGCGCTGGTGCAGCGCGGGGCCAGGCGCCGGGGCGGCGGGGTCCAGCAGTGGGCGCGCCGCTTGGGGTCTCGGATCTACGGGTTCCGGCCGGGGCGGCTTGGGGCGCAGGTAGACGTGCAGCGCGGAGAAGAGCTGGGCGCGGGCGGCCGGGCTGGCGTCGTGCGCGAAGGCCGCCAGGCGAAGCAGGCACTCGCGGAAACCGGACAAGTAGCAGCTGGCGAGCGCCTCGGCGTCCTGGGCTGGGGACCGGGGGACCCCTGGAGCCGCGGCGGCGGGTGCGGCCGACGGGAGCACGGGCAGTCAGGGCAGGGACCCAGCAGGGGTAAGGGAAGGGGCGGGGCGCAGAGGTACCAAGGCCCGACAGGCGCACAGAGACAGGAAACCAGATGGACGGACAGAGGGAGAAAATGAGGGAGACAGAGACAGACACGCGCGGGTGTTATTAACCTCGCCTCAGAGCAGAGTCTGCCACTCCCCAAGCCCACCATCCACGGCAAAGTCCGCCCCATCTCTACCCCGGCCCGGACTTCAGGGAACCCCCCTCCGCCCCGCCGCTGCCCCACCCCCGCGCTGTACCCGGGGGCTCCACCCGGCTTCGCTCCCTCAAGTAGCCCACGGCGAACTCCAGTATCTCTGCTTTCTCCAGCTTCGGGTTCCGGAGGTTCTACGGACAGGAAGGCAGGGCGCAGAGACAGAGGGGTGGGGAGAGAGGGGGAAAGTGGCAGGGGGAAGGAAGGAGGGAGGGGTGCGGGAGCTGCGGGTGCCCCCGGATCGCACGTGCGCGCGGGCCACAGAGCGCGCTCCCCGATGCGGAGTGGAGACGACCAAGGACGGTCCTCACCCACCCTGAGACGCAAATGTCCAACCCGAGGGAATGAAACCAGTCCCGCGTGGTGAGGAGGGCATTTGAAGTAGCAAACCCAATGGCTGAAATTAACTACCCCGCTGGCTGTGGAGGGGGAGGGGGAGGAGGAAGGATTTACAGACCCAGAGGTTGAAACCGACCCCCCCCCCACCCCCGGGAGTGAAATTTACAGCGCCGGGTGTGGAACTTACAGACCCGAGGGGTGGCCGTGAAGATCGCGTTCTGAGAGCAAGAGGGGGTCTGGGATGGGATTCCAAGGGCGGGACTCAGGTCAGGATGCCCTGGGGGCCAGGGTCGCCAGTGCAGCCAGCTTATGTCCCCACCCGAGTGGGAAACCCTGGGACGCAGGAACGGGATGCTTGGGGGTCCGGAAAGACTGACCTGGTCCCGGGTCCGCTCCAGCAGCAGCAGCCTCAGCTCTTCCAGGCTGCGGTTGATGCGATCTCGGCGCCGCTTCTCCACAAGCGGCTTCAGCATCTGCGACCAGCAGGAAAGGGAGAGCGGGCCGACCGGACCAAGGCTCAGCGCGGCCGCGCGGGCGTCGGAATCCCGCCGCTGGGATGGTCCCGCCGCCGCCCCTTCCCCAAGGCCCCGGAGAGCCTAGGGCCCGACCCGCTCGATCCCTCTCCGCTCCCCCTCCCGACGCCCCTAGGGTCAGTTTCTGAAGCTCGCCTCCTCTCTTTCCCGGGTCTTCTGCATCCTCCTCTCTCAGTCTCGTCCTCCCTCCTCCCCTCTCTGTGTCTCTCCTTCTCCTCCTCTTTTCTCTCTACTTCTCCGCACCGTGCAGTCTCTCTCTGTCTCAGTGGAGAACTTTGGGGGCCCTCTTTGCGCCCAGACACGTGGGCCACAAGGTGCCGGACTCAGAGTTGGCGACCCTGAGTGTAGAAAGCGAGATACCCAGCGCGACCGCGCCTCCTCTTCTCTCTCTAACCCGTTTAAGCGGTCACCGTTCTCAGGGGGACCCAAAACCTTCCACCCGGTCTCAGGTCTCTGGAACCAGCGCCCACTGGGCCAGCCAGCGTGGAGCAAGTGTGTATCTCCGCTTTCTTTTTCCACCCTCCGCCCCTGGCTCTATGCTCCTCTCGGCTGTTTCCCTCCAGCGCCAGCCCCCTCCCACGCCCCCGAGGGGGCAGGCGGCCGACTCCCCTCGCCCAAACCCCCGACCCTTGCTTCCGCCGCCCGCGCAGGTCTTGCTCTGACCCTGTCCCCTTCTTGACACTTTGCAACCTCCTCCCCAGCTCCTGGCTCCTCGGATCTCCCGTGCACGTCCCTCCCCAGCCCCCCGCTTCCAGCCCGGCGTCTCCAGCCTCTTCCCAGACCCACGGCCTCAGAGAAACGGTCCCCTGACCGGACCAGGGTTCTCTGCTCCCTCTTCTCCCGCCTCTCACCTTGGGGCCGTCCCTATTCTCGGCTCGATCCCGGGTGACCATCGCTCCTCTGGACCCTGGTGTGGACCGAGTCCCTGCTCGCGTTGCCCCTTATATCTCTCAGGCTCCCCGGTGGGGGGCAGGGGAGACCCGGACCCGCCCTCTTAGGCACCCGGATCCCCCCCAGCTCGGCCCCGGGCACGAGGCTCCCGGAAAGGGGAGGAGCGCAAGGGGGAGGGGAAGGCGTGCACCGGCCTGGAAGTGTGGGAACTGAGGGGTCAATGCAGCACCAGCTGGTTTAAAGACCATAAGGCTGTATAACGGGGCGGGTCCCAGCTGAAGGGAGGAGGTTATTAGGGGGAGAGAGTGCAGGTGATTTGGGGGAAGAACTCGCCCCAGAATCGCAGCTTTTGGGGGAGATCACTGTACCCCCACTGACCCGTAAAGTAGAAGTTAGCTCCAAGGCTGGATCCTATACTTCTTCCCCCAGATTTTACCTCCTACTTTAGTTAGGGAGAGACCCGAGGGTGCGGGATGGATCCGTCTGATTCAACTGGGCCTCTGTCTGGAGGTGGAAGAGCAGCTCTGGCAGACCTAGGGCAGTCATGTCCAAGTTCCCCAGCAGGGCAGGGACGCGGTCCGCACGCCGGAGTCCGGAGGAACGACGGCCATCCGCGCTCGTGAGCGGTGGGCACGCACTGGCCTAGGCCCGGACCGTTTTATACTGAGATATGCACTAGAAAGGATCTAGTGGGGGCGGGGGGATATGTTATCAAATATCTATTATAGTATCAGAGTAAAGTAGGTGATCGGGAAAAGGATCATCCTGAGGGACATCTGACCTGGGGCGGGGGAAACCCCAAGGAAGAGGAAGCAAAGATTTGAAGCACGGAGAGGAGGTGGAGAGACCTTTCTATTTACAAGTTATTTGATTCAAAACTATAGGGCAGTTAGGCGTGTGGCTGCCAGAACACCTGACACAAGTGTGCTCGCTTTGCTTGTTCCCAGGAAGCCCCTCGTGATTGTAGGGGAGCAGACAGTTTTCTGAAAGGGACAAGAAAGGAATACAAGAAAGGGATCAACACCGACCTCAAACTAGGACCATGGCCCTCTGCAAAAATGATGCGTGAACGCTCGGAGACTGCAGGACAAAATGCCTGAGAAGATAAAATCAGAGGTTTAACGGGACAGCAAAAGTGCTAGGAACAAGGAGATGTAAAGACAAGGCGGGAGACGGAGTCGGAAGGTAACTGCGGAGGCGGAAACGAATGGGACTCCGCCTAGCCGTCCCGAGCCCCTCCACACCTTTCCGTTTTTCACCAAGCCTGCCATGCCAAAGTCCGAGCCCGAAGGGACACAGACCTTGGGGAGGGCCCTCCCATTTGGGTTCAGGGCCCCCGGCAAGCCCACCTCCCCCTACCTGGGCCAAATGGGAGCGCAGATGTGTGGCCCCAGCAGCCCCCGCCGCCCCCCTCCTTGGGAACCTGGGCTCAGGCTGAGTTTTTCTCACCTGCACGCGAGGTTTGGGGGCCCCGGGCTATTCGCACCCGGGTGTGGGGCCGCCCCTGGCCATATGGGGCGATTTTATGGCCGGGTGACCGGATTCCGGCGAGAGGAAGGCTGGCTTGATTGCTCCACCCCGAAGAACTATTCACAGCCACTCTTTCACTGGGTCCGCGGTTCAAACAAGCCACCGTGCCACCTCTGCCTTAATCTCTTGTAGAGTTTGGTAAAGCCCTGTGTACATCTGCATTGGTGGTTCAGTGGTAGAATTCTCGCCTGCCACGCGGGAGGCCCGGGTTCGATTCCCGGCCAATGCAAGCTCACGTTTTCTTCCCCTTTTTCCCCAAAACGGGAAAAAACCTGATGCTACGTCTGAGAAGCATCTGTGTTTAATATTTCCATCAGATATTAATATTTAACTGGTTTACTTCATCGCAGGGTTGGACACTATGGATGGAGGTCTTGATTCCATATACCCTCACACGCCCATCTTAGCCAGGGGCTCCTGCTGCCTTCCCCACCCCTTCCTCCGCCCCGGGTTCCCGCACCTCCGCAGGCGTGACCCTGAGAAAAGACGCCGCGCTCGGATCCCTGCCCCGGGGGTCTTCTGGACCCTCCGCGGGGGCGGGGCGAGATCTCCCGGCCCCAAGCGCTCCCATTCCCTGGCTCTTCTTTCCATTTCTCTGCCTCGCTCTCTGTCTTACCTCTTGTTCTCTCTAAAGCGCCCTTTCTTTTTGCAAGCCCAGGTGCCTCGGCCTTTTTTGTCGCAGTTTTTCTGTGCTGCATACCTCTTGGCGTCTCTGTCTCCATATTTCACGTTCTTTCCTGGTCTCAGCAATTTTTGCGCTCATCTCTCTGGGTCTTTACTTGCCTCTGCAGCTTTGGCCCCAGGTCTCTCCGTCTCTCTCTGCATCTGCGTACGCGTCTCGATCTCTGGCTGTCTCCGGGTCTCTGGGGTCTCTCGCCTTCCCTCGGGGTCTCTGTCGCCTGCCAGCACTCTGCGCTCCCACGCTCCTGCCATTCCCTGGGAAGCTCGCTCACACCTCCAGGTTCCTGCCACCTCCTCGCCTGCCCCTTCCCGGCGGCTTTGATCCCGCACGCGTCTGGCCGGCGGGCGGCCGGGCACACCCGCCAGATGCAGCGGCCACTAGTAAGCGGGGGCGGGGGCCGCCCGGCTCCCTGGCGGTGCTGGTTTTCCTCTGCCTTCCGGCCTGTTCGGCCTCCCTCCGTGCCCCTCCTTCTGGCCCTGTCTCTGGCTGCTTCCTGGGCCTGTGGAGGCCCAGGTCTCTGATTCTCTGAGCCTGGATTTCGGCCTTGTCTATCTCGGTCACTCTCTCTAGAACTCGCTCTGGGTCTGTGCGTCTGCCTCTGGTTTCTGTCTCCTTTCTCTTTCAGCCTGTGTCGCCTGGGCCCGGGTCTAGGTCTTGTCTCTGGATTGTGTCAGCAACTGGGAATGCTCTCTTCTTAATTCTAAGGTGGGACAGTGGTCCCCAGAAAAAAAAAAATTGTACAAAAATCTGGGCATCTGTGTGTCTTGCTTGCACAGCGGCTGCTATTTATGGAGCGCCTCCTGTGTGCTCAGTATGGTTAGGCTTTGAGAGTACATTGGGTCCGGGCTACCCTGAAGCTTACATTATAGTGGTCAGAGAAGTCAAAAATAATTAAGAAAGCATAAAATAATATAAGTTCAGATGGTATAATACTGGGAAGCAGCGAGAAACAATCAGACACGGCAAAGACTTCAGAGGGAAGCGGTGCTGTTAACTCTGGGTGTTCAGAGGCGGCCTCTATCAGGAGGTGGTATTTGAGCCCGGCTCCGGCAGCTCTGAATCCAGGCAAAAATAACAAGTGCAAAGGCTGTGAGGCAGGAACGGGGTTTGCTGGTGAGAGCTGAAGAAAGAGGGCCAGTGTCCCTAGGATGGAGAATTTAGAGTGTGGAATGATAAAAATGGAATGCATAGCCCATCACACAGGGCCCTGGAAGCTCCAGGAGTTTGGATTGTAGTCTACGTGCCATGGGAAACCAGTGGAGAGTTTTAATAGGAATGTTATATTCACTGACCTATGTATTAAAAGATCACTTCGGCTGCTGTGTGGAGGAGGGAAGCAGGGATATCATCTGGGCTGGCAGAGCAGTCATTTAGGCAGACATGATTGCTGCTGGTACTGAGGTGGCGGCCGCAAAGAGGGAAAGTGAACACCTAGGTTTTTGGCTTAAGTAACAGGGAGATTGGTGGTGGCTTTTTTTTTTTTTTTTTTTTAATTGAAATGGGAAGGGGGAGGGGACAGAGAAGGTTTGGGGACAGAAAATAAACATTATATTTTAGTCAGGTTAGTTGAGGTCCCCTTAGACATCCAAGTGGAGGTTCCAGGTAGTGGAGGGATATACAAGTTAGAGGATCAGAGCTGGAGGGTAAATACAGGGGAGTCATTGGAAGAGATGGTTTTTAATTCCATGAGGCTGGAGTACCTAGGGAGAGAATGTGGACAGAGAAAAGGGAAGAGACTGAGCAAGGAGCCCTAAGGCAACCTAACACTTGAGGTCAAGTTGAAGATGTGGAATTGCCAAAGGAATCTGGAGTGATCAGAGAGATAGCTGAAAGGCCTGGGGAGTGGGGTGTCCAGGAAACCAAGAAAAGAGAATGTCTGAAGACGGAGGGAGCAGTCAGCCCTAGCTAAGCTGTTGGGAGGCCGAGTAAGAAGAGAAACGCAACCATCCAGTTTAGCATCTTGGAAGTCACAGATGACCTCGGCGGGGGAGAGTGACTGTGCAGTCCCACTGAGCTGGATGAGGGAAGAATGGGAAGTGAAGGCATGCAGACAGTGGGTATAGACAACTCCATCAAGTTTTGCTTTGAATGGTAAGCAGAACAATGTGTGGCAGGTACGAGGACAAGAGAGGAGGGTTGCTAGAAAGGGTCTGAGGCTGATGGGAACAACCAAAAGCTGGGCTGTGAGGCAGGGCGGAGGCGGGTAGGTGCACTGCCGTGCCAGGGAGAGAAATCCGCCTCAGCTGGTATTGAGGTGGGCAGGAGGGACAGAGGGCCCTGTCAGTTGGGGTGGGGGAAGGGTGAGGCAAGTTATCTCTGGTTGCTCTCATTTTCTCAAAGAAGAATCAATCAAGCTTATCTCTGGAGGGGAGAGAGCTACAGGTCCTTTGAGCAGAAAGAAAGTGTGAAACGTTCACTTTAGAGAGTAGAAAAACAAACCTAAACTAGGAGAATAGGGTTTCTAGGCAGGCTGAGAGTCCATCTGAGATGTGGAATGAAACGTTTCAGAGGCCAACTCACCGCGAAACTGAAGAAGCTTAGGCTTCAGGACTCCTCACTGACACAGCCTCTGGGAGGACCCCGGCAGCCTCCTCACACGCTGTGTGCTTCTGTAACGTTTCGGAGTGAAGACATTTTTAACTCTGCATGGTAAAGACCACTGTCACTTTGCACTTCACTTCCCTGTCACACTCCCTGCCCTCCACCTGTGTTGGCGTGGCTATGGGCATTTGGGGGATTTGGTTATAGGGAAGGTGCGTAGGAAAGACATAAGATTTATGGTTTTGTGGGATATCTTAACATGGTTCCCAGTCATTCCACACACAGGTAAGTTAGCCTCGCCACCCTGGTGTCAGAATGGCTGCCAGGAGCGCTCCGACCGCCTGTGCCCATTCACCAGGCTTTGTGCTCTGGAGGTGCAAAGCCAGAGGGCACTTGTGATATGAATGTGTCCAGTGACTCTTGTCACTATATGTACGTGGGTAGTAGAGGAGAAACAAGATTCGGAATGTTTAGAGCCAGTAGCTAGTCTCTGGAAAGTATTGTAGAGGTGTTCAGACAGATAATTAATACAAGTAAGTTATTTTTCTGGACTTTGTGACATTTGTCAGTTTTTCAATTTGTAAGATGTGATCTCATCTGTCACTCTCAATACTACTTTTTGTACCTAATTTTGTATTATTTTTATAAAAAGCCCTCTCTGCTCCAAAAAAAAAAAAAAATACACATCATAAACTGAACTAACAAGCAAAATGGAGACGGACTCATAGAAAGCAGGCTAACAGCTGGGAGGGGGCATGTGGCGGGGGGTCGAGGGATCCAGCAAAAAAGGAAAAAGGACTCATGGGCATGGACAACAATGTGGTGATTGTGGTGGGGGGTATAAAGGTAGATAAATGGTAATGGAGAAAATTAAAAAGCCACACACACACACACACACACACACACACACACACACTTCAGCTGCCCTAAACCTGAGAGCAGTTGTTGGGGCTGGGGGATTTTTCTCCAGCCACTACTCCTGTGCAGATGTGGCTCTGAGGACATCTCCCAGCCCCATTCCCAGCGTTTCTGGGGTTATAGGATCGGGTCTCTGTGTGTTTGACACGCCTCTGTGTCAGCGTGGGCCTGTACGTATGTCTGTTTGTGGTTGTGTCTGTGTGCCTGGTGTGCGTATGAATGTCTGGGCCTCCAGCCTCTTCAACGCTGAGCCAGGTCTGGGATTGGGAAACGTGAGCTCTTGTCCCACAGAGCTGGGCCCCTACGGAGGCGAGGCGGGGGCAGGGAAAGAACTGAGACAGCACCAGGCTGGTGGGCTGGTCCCGCTGTCTGAGCTTCCCCTCCCCTGCTGTGTTGTCTCCCCAGGCTTGGGTTCCAGGGCTCAGCTCCTCCCTCTTTGTTCTTCAAAGGGAAGGCTGGCTTCCTGGGACCCCCTGGGTCCTGGGTAGGGGGAGTACCTGGAAGGTTGAATCCCGCGGGCTGGGGGTTGGGAAGTAGGAGGACCAGGCCTCTGGGCCACGGGAAGAATGGGGATAGAAGACCTCTATACATCCCAAACCAAACAAATACTCCTTGCCCTTATGAGTCATACACTTCTTGGGTGGGAGTGGGCAGGGAAACAGTCAAATGAATATTATACAAAACTTATCTTTTGTCAGATGGTGATGAGTGCTGCGCGGAGAAGTGAGGCAGGGGAGTAGAGAGTGAGAACTACTGTTACAGCCGGTGAGATGAGATGGGGCGCTACGCCAGTAAACCAGTAAACCGTAAGGGGAGGACTCAAGCTACAGGGATGCCTGGGAGCAGAACGCTCCAGACCGAGGGCCTGGCTGACCGAGAGGCCTGGCTTGTCCGAGGAACGGAGAGCGGTAAGGACCGCCAGAGGCATGGCTGGGGTGGAGGTAGCAAGCGCAGAAGTTGTAGGAGGTGAGGTTGGAGCCATAAACTGGAAGGCTGATCTCGTAGATCGTCCAGGCCACTGCGAAGACTTTGCCGGGACTTGCTCCTCTGAGTGAGCTGAGAAGCCACTGGAGGGCTTTCTTTTCTCTCTGCTTTTTTGTTTTGTTTTGTTTTCTGGCACTTTAAATTTTTATATAATTTTACACTTTCAGAAAAGTTACAGTAATAATACAAGGAACTCCTTCCTGTATACTCTTTTCCCTGGACCATTAACTGTTTACATTTGCCCCCTTTGCTTTATCACTGCCCTCCAAATATAAAATATGTGTTTTCTGAACCATGCAGGGGTAAGTTGGAGACATCAGGCCCTTTGGGGAAGAATCCTTCTAGGCTCTCCCCGTGGACAGAGCTAGGAAATATGCTCATATGTCAGCGTGTGTTTCCTAAGGACAAGGACAGTGGCGGCATAATGGTACATAATAGTACAGTTATCCATATCAGGCTATTAAAGTTAATAAAATACTATTACTTAATCCACACTCCATATTCAGATTTCCCCAAGTGTTCTGCTGACATCCTTTATAGCTCTTTTTTTTCTTCTTTCCCAATCCAGTATCC